GAAAAGATATTGTCCAACAATTACTCAGCATTCATTTTAACGAACACTTTATTTATCCCGTAGGGCAATTCATCCTCTGCATTCGATTCATCCTGAAGCTGCTATGGCTTACATCAGGAGCAGTGGTCGCCGTAGTCCAGTGCCCGGGAACCCATCTCCAGATGTTGATCCTTGGCTTGGTCAGGACTATCGGAGGATTATACCTAGTGTGCATGTTTTTATTGGTAGGAAGAAAACTACGCAGGCACGATGAGGACATGAAAACTCCACTCAGAAAGACCCTGTTCCGACCGGGATTCTAACCCAGGACCTTCTTGATGAGAAGCGAGTGCTATCCTCTCAGCCACCAGCACTTTCCTTTTAGCTACTCTTTCTTCAACAAAAAAAGTACAGGAGGCACAGATCTGCCACCAACACCTTTTAAAAGGTCAGAGCTCAGGGTTACCTCAGAGTGTAGACAGATCACTGAAAAGAAGTTACTCAAATTGGCTTTTATTTAAAGAAATCAAATATTTTCTATAGCCGACAGAAATACAAATATATATCAATGTGATACGTTCATCTGATTCTCAAGAACAGAGAAATAATAATAAGCATCATTGAATTCTAAGTAAGTACAAAACTAAACAGCATTACAACCTACTTTCCCTCAGTTGTCTCTAATGAAACTGCTGTTACACAAAAATAGTAGAGGTGGACAATGTTAAAATATTTATGATATTGTTAAATATTGTTAAATATATTATAGAAGTCAAATACAACCTTGGAACTTAACCTACACATATGAATCATGTTTTGTCACAATGATGTCTGAATATTGTTGTAGAAACAGATATTTATTTTGGCAATACAACCCACCTCTATCAGAATCACATTTTGTTTTCCTTTTTTTTAGGGTTAGGGTTATTTAGGGTTATTATTATTATTATTTATTTTACTTGTATTTCCATCGAGCTCTTCCTTTTTGTAAGTGTTACATGTATTTCAGCAACCAATTCATAGTCACAAATAATAACTTTCAGAGAATAAGTGTTCGGAGGCCAAACATCAAGAACAGTGACTGAAAGAGACGTTTATAATAATCCAATGTAATTTTCTTGTTTTTTGTTGCTCATGTTAGCCAGTCTTCCTTTTTTAATTAACTCAGCACCTTATCAGTAATAAAACTTAATCAGTGTCTAAAACACCCCCCCCCCCCATGTATTTTTTGTTTTTTGTTGCCCCCCCCCCCCCCCCCCCCCCCCTCACCCTAAAACACCCCTCCAAACTTTTTCGGTTAGGAAAAACTAAACCTGTTATTTATGGTGAAAAAAGTAAAACACCTCAGCTTTCAAGGTATTTTAAAGAAGAAGCCTCTATTGAGTCGCTATTTGATGCTTTGGGCTGAAAGCTGATTTGTTGAGAGTGATCTTTTCACTTTTTCGTCCGCAAAAGTGTATCTAACGATGTAATAGAGGCCAACAATACATGAACAACTTGGATTTGATGACATATTTCCATTATAGGGTACAGTTTGCTTTCCCGTCTCTTTCTGAAGTTTCAAAGTGTCTGAGGACTGACCAGCACCACATTCTCCCCGCGGATGAAGAGCTGGTTGATGTCGTCGTGTGCGCACTTTGCCGTATTTATGTGGGACTTCCTTTCGATCCTTTGAGGCCGCTCCTTTGCTGGCCGTGCTCTGCGATTCACTCTCCTTTACTTTGGTTGTTGCCGTTTTTTTGATGGTTCTTCTGCTTCCAAACTTTCCTGTAACTTCAGCTTCTCAAACAACTGTGAACAAATAATCAAGCATTGTTCAAATGAAAGAGGGGACAATCTTGACTTGGGAGAACAATTCTGGTTTAAAAAGTAATTCAATAATTCAAACAAATGCTGCAAATTTACAATCAGGACACGTTTTTATGTTGTTGTTTTGTTTATTTATAATACTCGGGAAATATATACTGTATGTGTACATTTAAGCACATATCTCATCACTTATACTAAATAGTAATTGTAATAAACATAATCCCCCCCCCTTTAAATAAAACACTTACCCTTGTAACAGTGAGCGCCTTCTCATGGTAGAACGCCTGTCCCAGGAGAGGCTCTCTGTACGTCTCATCCACGTCAACCATGGCCTGAAAAATACAGATTAGGTTTTCACAATTAATACGTAATTACATCCACTTTCAAAATGTTGGACGTTGAATCCTTTGCTCTCACCATATTCCAGATACCTGTCAAAGGCAACAAATGAAGCCGGAGCAGATGCCTCGGAGCCCCTTGAAGGTCCTGATGTGGACTCTGACCCGGATTCGTTCCTGAATATATCTGTAGAGTTCCCCCAGAGGACTGCCCTCGCACACTGCAAGAAGAAGTCATCACAAAATAAGTAAGACAAATACATAGGCCGATAGCAAGAAGCACACAACATGTTCTGCACCTTCATCATTATTGACCACTTAGGATGCACTTAACGACGCTATGCAACCACCGCCTGATCGCTTATATGAAGAGATGTTTTAGCATATGGACAAATTTAACTTTAATACATTTGATCCTTATTCATGGGTCCTTTCCCAAAGGGGATGTAACAAAAGTACACCACTGTAGAAACTGTATGAATCCTAAAAGGTATTTCAGTAACTCACAGATAGTTATAGTCATATACTTCAAATTATAATACAGATTTGATTTAATATAATTAAATGACAGATATTTATTCATTTTGTTTGCTCCCTTTATTGTACTGTACTCCCCACTGTACTGTAATGTGGTAACGCTGAAATATCTCCACTGAGAGACAAATTAAAAGGTCCTCTTTTAGATTATCGTTTTAGCACGTTCATATTAATTATACTATACAAATGAGAGGTCAGAAGACAAAAATTACAAATAATAAAAATAAATTTAGTCGAAAAATCACTTTCAAGCTCGTTTTTGTCCAAAATACAAAATGTAAACCACTTTTTGTCTTCAACATTCTGCTAATGAGCCACAATAACAAACAGATTCCACCTGTCATCCTTGTGAGAACGTTCTTCACCGGCTTGCTCTTCCTGCGGCCCCGCTGAGCTCCGCTGCTCTCCGGGTCCACCGGGTTGTTCACCATGAGCTTCTTCAGCCGCTCGATCCTCTCCGGGTCCGCCACTCCTTTCATGGCTTTTCTTCGCCGTCTCTCCACATTCTCGGGCTTGGCTCCCCTCGCCCTGCTACCCTTCAGAGCGCTCTCGTAGGCGGCCAGATTATTGAGGCACAGGGCGTTGGGGAAAGGCAGTGTGACGGTGGGAGAGTACAAGGCGAGCATCGGTCGAACTTCTCCGAGCACACGTCGGTTTCGTCCCCCTCCGCGGCTGCACTGGTTGTGGCTTGTGCGGGCTCCGGAGTGCAGGTCCCGGGTGTAGATTTCTTTCTCTTTGCTGTCAGATTTCCCATGCTTTCTTTCACTTTCCTCCATGTGTGCAGTATGGTGCTTCTCCGATGCTTAATTTTTACCCCGGGAAACTTTAACATCCGGGTGTACAATGGGGTGACAGAGACCTCACTCTGCTGAATTTGAAGATTATGAACAAACACACAAATTGCCCTTATAAAACAAAAACACCAACATCAACTTATAATAATACTGGTTGCATAGCTAAAATAACAAGGTCACGATTGTGTTTCAATGACCATTCAAACACCAATTTAAATCAGAAAATATGAAACACCGTCTTTTCATCACGATCTTTGAAGTTGTTCTCCACTGTACCACAAGTAACCACAAGATGGAGACAAATCACTATTGTGTATTTACCATAGACTTTACGAAGTGAAAAAACAATAACGTGGCAGGAGGAAAGTAATTCTCCTTGTCACATATATTATAAAATATATAGTTACTGCATATGTTTTTTTAACCAAGTTTGGTTTCTAAATAATGGTTTCCAGCTCAATTAAACAAGTAATCCATAAACCGGAACCTTCGTGTGTGAGCTTGTTGACCACGGCAGACTTTGGCTACGGACTGTACACAAACCGGCGTGTGCGACCTACTGCAATCCATACATTCGTGGAAGGATTTGCTTCTTTTACCTTGAACAGTCTGATTCAGTAACGTGGAATAGTAATATTAGTAACACATATGTATAAACATTTATTGAATTGAAATCGAAAAGTGCTTACATTCGCATGGTCATCTAAATGTAAAGTCTTATTACATGTATTACATAGTATTTCAAAACGCTGCTCTACATGTTTATCTTCCAAAATACCCTAATACATTTCATGACAACATACCACATGTTTTGTCTTCCAGGTGTTGGCAGTCATTGGGGCCAGCAGATTGTGCAACGCTGCCAGTCCAAGTCTAGTCAAACCTCTTGCAAGTTTATCCATCAGCTCCAGTGTTATGGCCAAGAGCAAGTTTGAATCCGTCCGCAACTTTGAAGCAGATGATCACTTGCCTCAGAAACTGCTACATTGTGGTCAGACTTGATGGTCGCAACTTTCCACAAGTGAGTTCAACCCTTTCAGCCAATTGAGCTAATGGTAATGATGTATCAGTTCTTTATTTGCTATAACATATCTGCCTTTTTTATATAGGTTTGCAGAAGCAGCAACAAATTCACTACAACCCAATGACAACAGAGCCTCTCGGTCTGTTGACTAGAAGTGCCCGCTCTGAGATGAAAAGAGCCCTTTTGAAGATGTTGTCATTGCTTATTGCCAGAGTGATGAGTTCAGTTTTGTTTTTAAAAGAACCACACACTGGTTTAAGAGAAGAGCCAGGTGATAAGATTTGTTAGTATTTGTGTCTCAATTCAAATGTTAGTTACTAATGTCTCCCCTATTCTTTCAGTAAATTCATGACCCACGTTGCCTCCCAGTTCTCTTCCTCGTAATGTGTTTTATTGGAAAGAATTTTTTGGGGACCAGCCGCTGCTGTATCCTCCGGGCTTCGACGGCCGTGTTGTGCTTTATCCCACTAATCGCAACCTCAGAGACTATCTGAGCTGGAGGCAGGCCGATTGTAAATATCTTTAAATGTACATTACACCTGAATGACCTGGTTAATGCAGTTGTATTAATTAGATACATGTTGTCCGACAGGTCACATCAATAATTTGTACAACACCGTTTTCTGGACATTAGTGCAAAAAGGAGGACTCACAACGGTACAAGCCGAAGAACGCCTTAAGGTAAAAGAATTATTAAAGTAGTTGGTGTAAAATGGCTAAAGAATGATCATGTTTGTTGGTATTAATTGCTATGGATTTAGTATGGCTTGTATTATGTGACATTCATAGTCACTACTCCTCAAGATTTGTTGAGGAGGAGTAGTAGTAGAAGTAGACAGCAGTAATTTATTTGGTTATACACATCAATAATCATTAACATAACTATAATCACAAGAAAAGGGTTCGGGCTGAAATAAGAATTAGTAAATATGGTTCTCCAAAGTATCAAAAAGTAGACGATATTTGATAAAGCCAATCGAGCCAATTATTTGATATAACTAGTAAAACTTGAATTGAGTAAGTATTGATTCTAAAAAATAAACGTAAGACGCCAAACTGTAAGCCAACAGAACAAAATGGGACATTTCCTGAAAATAAATAAACGTGTAACTGTTTCTAAAGAATAAGGAAAGAAAGTTGTGGCATCATAAATGTGGCATATTAAAATCACTGATTGAAAATTGGTATTGAGTATCACAAATCGATCCATTTAATATCAAAATCGAGTTTGAAATTGTAATTTGACAACACTGGGCCTGACCCATTCAACAAACGAACACGCAAGTCCAAAAATGCTGTGAAACAACAGCAGAGGTTCATTACTCCTGCTTCACAAAATCATATAATTTCAGTATTTTCAACCTAGAAAAATATGATATGGTTGCGTACACTGCACAAAACTCAACTTAATTCTAACCAATTTTAAAAGGAAAAAATGAGGTCCGAGACACAACTGCCTTTTGATTGTAATCAATATCCTCATGGGACTTTAGTAAAAGCAATAACAAAATAACAAAGGGGTCCAGCCTGTCTCAGGCCTGTTTCAGGGTGGTCACCAGCCCTGTCAGTGCTCCTAACAGCTGCAGCTTTCTTCTGCGTCGGAAACACAGATGAGGCGACGACAGTGGATGAAATGTGGAATGTGTGGATGTTTGTGCAACGTGATTCTAAAAACACTCTCGAGTTTTGTGTGCCCCTTTTATTCAATGTATTATTTTTCAGCCTGATTTTAAGTGTAGTTCTTTCGGTGCCAAACTAGTCAAATTGCTACATGAGATTCTGAATCCAGGACCTTTTCTATACAGCAACCTGGCTTCTGAAAACATTATTTTTTTCTATTTTTTCACCTATTATTGAGTTAACCTTAAGAGTTAAGATCTAATCTATTTGAATTTGACAGTAAATCTTAGTTTGAGGGTGGCTTACTTAGTGGTTGGATGACATTTACAAATGTAATCCTATTTGTTGACTATGTTATGCTTCTTTTTGTCTTCTTATAGGGAACATGGCCGCAGACAAAAATGAAATCCTATTTTCTGATTTGATATAAACTACAACAAAGATCTCTTCTTCACAGAAAAGGAACTACTCTGATTTGGGAAAAGTAACCCCTCCAGCTCTATATCAATGACCAGAGAGCAGCTGGTCAATGTAACATAGAAGAGTTGTATAAATGTTTAGATTGTGTCTCTGTATTCTAGATAGATGAAAGTGACACTAAGCGCATGAAGATTCCAAACGAGGAGGAGAAAGATGTGATCGTGACTCGGACAAGAAGATCCGTCCAGGCCCATCACTGATGATGAAAAAACTATGAAAAACAAAAGCATGTATTTCCAATAATATTCCAGAAAATGCGTTTGATATTTTTAAATGCATTTCCAAAATTTGACCTTTTCTGCTGGAATAATTTAAATATCATAGTTTTACACGTATGAAGCCTCAGTTTATGAATAAAACATTAAAACCTTTTGAAATGTACAGAAAGGAGAGCATCAATCTAGAATGGTATTATAGGAGAGAGAGAGATCATAGAGCTGTTTGTTTAATCCATCTATATTTCCAGTTTACAGTGGGGGGGAGTTTTAGCCCAGTTTATTGCACAGTTGCTACAAGGAAGTGAAATTATGAATATAAAAGACGTGTCTAAACCAAACTGTCATACATGCCTTAAAGCTGGAGACTTAACTTTTTTGTTTCATAAGTAATACATTCTCGTCCCAACAAATAGAGCCATGTGAACAAATCGCACTCCAACTGTTTTATAATTTAAGATCAAACAGGCTAGAAATACATGCATGTGACAACTATTGGCCGAACCAAACTGTTTTGAGAGTGAGGAACTTTATGGATTTTTTCACGCCATACCATTATTGTAGTTCGAAAGTTACGTTCATAATTTATTCTTGTTGGCCGCAGTCCGGGCTGCACAAGGGTTGCAGCAGATGTTAAAACCCCACTGCACTGGAGTGGCCTTGTTTTGATGCCAGGACACCATTTTTAGAAGTGAATGGATTCATGAGGCTGTTGCACTGTCATCAGAGCTAAGAATACACACACACCCTGCTCACACACACACGCACACACACCATCACTTTGCCATGTGCTCCCAGGCCTATTTATCATCACACTTAGGAAGGATGCCTCAGTATGAATGGCTCTGGGCACTTCTGGCTCACTGTATTTTGTTACTCCAGAGGGGTCAGTTTCATTTGGATTACTAGACCAGTATTTTTGGTACGGTAGCCTTGGCCCAACTATTTCACTCTACTGTAGTTTATGTAACCTGCCTGGAGCTTGCATGGTGGAGCATATGAAAGCATTACTTATAAATAATTAGCATTTACTATGGCAGTTCTACACAACATCTGACATCATGGTTATACTTAGATTTTCCAAAATATAGTTAGAGTATGGTTACTTTAATTCATTCTTGTGCAATATGTACCGGTAAATGACAAAGGGATCCGTGTACAATCCGTGTACCCTTCGTATGATTCATGTTTTCAATTATTAAACTCTATCTTCTGATTTTATATCTTTGAAATAACCAGAATGTTCTTTTTTTCGTCCTATTACTCTTTCTAATGCTCGAGTCTATCCCACTCACAAGAACCGTTTTGACAAGCAGACACAAGTAAAGTTATTTAAAGGCACCATGTGTTTTCATTCATGGCATTCAGAAGTGTACATGCATAATGGATTCAACACAAAGTCATAATTGAGCTCTATACTCCATAGATCAGTATTAATCATACACCAACTTGTCTGAAATTGTTGAAGAAAGGTGTTTTGATTCCATTTAAATTTATTTTGTATTTCCCCACACATTGGAGGACTTTACTAAGTTGTCGATTCATCAAAAACAGAGCAGAGAATCAAACAGTTTGAACACAGGAAATAATAATACTAATAATAACAAAGGTATAGGAGCCATTGGTTCGTAGAGAGCTCGATGACCACTGTCAAGAAATGTCCAGAAATGTCCTGGGTCATCATTGTCCTTAGATCCTCCTGTGTTGACCAGGAACAACTAAAAACATAACATTGGGGAAAAAGTGAGAACCCTTCTGGAGACACACATTGGGGTGCGCTCTCATGGATGAACTGCAACAAAGGAAAATCAGTCACTTTTGAAACTGATTTCGAGGTAGACTTAGTCCACCTGCTAAACTGCAGGAGCATATTAAATGGTCCAACTTTTCCAAGGATGAGAGATGATAAATAGGAGGCTCACTCATCTTCACGTCTTCAGTCATGCATTTTTTTATTAACTATTTCAATCAATAAGATTCAACATACTTTGGATCGACAAATAATCTTTTTGACTTTAACTGGAACTAATCTGGTTCAGTTGGGGGCAAAATTCTTCACAGATCTGTTTCAAAATAAGTATTAAGTATAAGTAAGTCACTGGTGTTCACCTATTTCTGGTTTTACACCCCAAATAAAAAAAGATTAATTTCCCAAAGTGAACCATGCAGAGCCGATCCAGTTAAAGACAAGTAAAAGAGAAAAAGTAAAGTTTATCACAACTCCTAGTGGAATACAATTTCTCAGACAGCAGTCCTTATACAACATTGTGAGGTTATAGCACCGGCGGGTCCACATCTCATCACAGCCTGCTTCTTTTTTGCCTCTTCTTGCCTCTTTAGCCATAAACAGTATCATATCTCTTCTCTCTCGGTCTGTGGCCTCTCCTCACGCTCGGGGCCGGAGGGGCGTGGCTCACTGACGCTCTTGGTGCGTGCAGCGCGCTTCCAGCAGCATCCCATTCACAGCCAGCGCATCGCCATGTCACCTCACTATCACCGCGGACTTTTATAGCAACATTATCTGACCTCCTCCGGTCCGTGTGCGTGGATGCCTCGCTCTGGCGGCTGCGTTTGGAGCAGACACTGTCGCCAGGATGAGCGCTTGTGATGCTGGGCTGAGTGTCATGGGTGCTGCTGTGTGTGGCCGCTCTACCTCAAGGCGCTGTTTACAATGGTGAGCCCACTTATTTCAATAGGGACCATTGTGCAACTGCTAGCTATGTTTTTTGTGTGCTTTATTTACTGTATTATTGTTTCGTTACAGTGATGTGGAGTTATTGTGGAACATTGAATGAATAGTTTGTTCACGCACTGTGGCTTTAGCTTTGTTTATTCCTTGCAACTTGTGGTTCTGTAGTTTGAATGCTTGCAGAACAAAGATGGCATAGGATCAAATACAGTTATGATATTACTAAAAAGCACCATGGTTATTTATTTCAAAAAGGAGCAATATCATTGATCATATCATTGATCAAGTTTACTTCCCTGAAATGCCAAGCAAACCTGTATGTCCTGAATAGACAAGTAAAAGAGAAAAAGTAAATTATCATTATCACTGATATACAACAGAGCCGATCCATTTTATTTCAAACATTTTAAAGACAAGATGAAGAGAAAGAGTCCATCCTTCCATTCAACAATAAAAGTAAAGTTTATTACAAACTCCTATGTGGACTTAACTAGTTTTAAACCTTTCTGTGGAACATCATAGCCAAAGCAGTATCACTGTAAAGCTGTGGTACTTACATTAATCTTTTCTTATAAATGATACATAGTGTTTCTCCCAACTGGGAAGAATAAGAGTAAATGGTTGTGAACAAATCAGTCACAACATGATGTATTCATCTTATTTGAAAACATTATTTTTTGCACGTTTACTTGAAAACGCTGAACTTAAGATGTGGCAAGGGCTACATTTTTATTGCCATTGTAAGTAACACAAAGTCACAAACTAGGAATCTGCTGGCTACAAGATACAAACAAGTATGAGTAAAAATAGGTAAAGGCATGTATTCCAATATTCCATCCATCCATCCATCCATTTTCTACCCTTTAAATCCATTTCTGGGTCAGGGGGGTGGCAATCAGAGATGCCACCCAAGTTCTCATAGCACCAGCCCCTCACTGACCCTCTGCAGGTGGTGAGTCCACAGGAGCATAGCCTCAATGTATTCCAATATTATTATAGTTATTTATGGACCCCAGCTTTAATGACAAACAAAACTTGTCAGTCTGAGTCTTCATGATCAACCCCTTCATACATTTTTTCTTTTTCAGACAATAACAAAGTATCGGGGAGCATCCTTGGCCAGGTGCAGCAGTACGAGGTCACCCATCCCATCTGGCTGCAGAGAAGAAGACGGTCTCCCAGTGCGGAGGTGAGTCACGTGTCTGCAGCAGTTTGACCATCTGTTTTAAAACATGAGTCCAGACGCTAATAATGGCTCTGTAGTTTTTAATGAACACTTTTACCCAGGTGATTCATGTGTGGTGTTTTCCCCTTTTTGTGTCAGCAGCAGCAGCAACATCCTGCGAAAGCTCAGTTGTGATCAGAGCCGAAGGCCAGGATCTCACCCTGCACCTGGAGAAGAATGAGTAAGTGAGGAAAACACTGCTTCATTGATGTTATAGAAGAGACGCTGGCATTTATTTGTGAGTCCAGGGCTAATAACTGTTTCATTGCTCCAGCTGAAACCAAAATAACACGAATTCACTTAGATTTGTGATGTACAGATCTTACGCAAACCTGGTTCTCCATATGAATCTCTCTCTTCAGCAGTTTTGACGTTGAACCAACACAATGAGAACTGGTGACTTAAAGCTCTGTGTCAAACTTTGAATTTATCAGAATCAGGGGAGTTTCACGGCCTGAGGTCTAGTTTTTAAAGAAAATAGTGCTTTGTGATGCAATATTCTATCATTTTTAAAGGCCCCCTAAATAATCAGGGCTGAATAAATGATTGTAGTTACACGCCACATAGTTAGTTATTCACTTATTCACTATCAAAATAATATAGGCTCACATGAGAAAAGAGAAGAAAAGGTTTAGATTATATTGAGTTTTATGAAGAAAGGTTAAAATTGTAAAAAAGTCAAAATATTCTACTAATAATATTATAATAATGTCAATATCAAGGCAGGCCTGGTTTGACTGATTTAATATCAGCTTTAAATTGAAGTACACCATATGTTTGTTGGTGGGTCAGGTCAGTGCCCCTCTCTGATGGCTTTTGCTTTTGCAGAGGTTTCTGACACCTGATCCGTGCGCCTCAGGCTCACAGGAAAGAAGATTATTCTCAACGCCTCACGTCACTAATCAGATGGAGCAGATCCTGTCTGTTCCAATAGGCCTCTGATAAGACTGGGGCTGTTGCTGGTGTCTCTTTAGCTTCTGCTGCTGCTTTAGCTAGCATAGGCCTATATTAGAACGGACAAGTTGCTCAAATGCACTGTGAATATGGACATTATATCAATTTAAAGACATCTCAATGATGATTTGTTTATTAGGTAAGGTAAATGCAGTATATGTGTATGGTACAAGACAACTCAAAGTGCGTTTATAAAAACAAGAAACAAAAATTATAGAGGGACATGAAACCATAAACAAATACCCACATTAGTAATCACAGTACATTGAAAAGAGTGTAGATAAAACCTTTCACTTATATGCACAACTAAATAGAAATGTTTTGAACCTAGACTTGAACCTTGTGTTTGTTACTACTTGTTGTCATTCTGGATGCGTTTCAAAAGCTTTTTAAGTGGTACAAATGTTGCAAACGAGAAAGAGGGAACTGAAGAAACTGAAGAAACTGAAGAAAGAGGGACATCTTGCCAACAGCAGATTACTTGGGGCTGTTGATCATTTACTGTTGCAACAATCCCAGACAAAGTCATGCATGTGTTTCATTTCCAGTCTAAGTTCACAGTACATCCTCCATGCATTCATTCAGTCACATTAAAGCTGAGGTATGCAACTTTCAAGTCAATTTAACTTATGAAGAAAGTTATTCGCTTTGAACATATTCTGGTTCTTGCACTAGTTTCCCCTTGCGTGCATTTTATGGCCTCTGTCACATCTTTTAATCAGCTTTATTCGACAGAAAAAGCCACTCTTACTCATTCATACTATATTTAACCTTTATAAGGCTCTATATGTTGGGACTAACAAAATGTGTTTTTTATGAAGAAGAAAAAAGTTCAATACCCGGCTTTATCAGCAGTGTGACTCCAGTGCGTCTGTAGGGGCGCCCCCTCAGGGATTTGCCCCCTGCCTGCGCTGACTCTGCCCAGCAGGTGGTCACTATGTTAGATTTCCTTTTGGGACTGGAATTTTCATTAATCACATATGTCCAGTGTCTCTTTGTTTGCATGTCTTTGTATGGATCTGCTGAGATAAGGTTACAGTGTAATGGAGATGGTTTGCCTGGATAAAGATGGTTTAGCATTGTGTTCCAATATGAATGGCTTTCTGAACTTTCAAAGTGGATTTAGATTTGGGTTTCTTTAGGGGATGTTGAGAAACCTCTTTGGAAAGGGTGCACCAATGGTAATAATGTTGACATCATTTGGAAGGAAGGATACAACACTCATTTTGACATTCTGTGAAATCAACGTGCAAATTTCTGGTTTAGGAAATATACACTACGTACATTTCTCAAGTAGAGCTTCCTCTGTTAAAACACTTATGTCATAAAGGAAGACTTGACTTTTGACTTGTGCTTTTAAGGGCAGGATGCACAGGCCTTATGTTAATCTACTGAGCATATTCATTCGTTTTAGTCGTACCAAATTTGAACTCAAAGGTTTCACCATTCGGAAGTGGATTTTATGTATTCAACTTTTTTGAAGCAGTGGTTCTAATTGACACTAATTTGAAACATGGATAGCCGAGGCAAAAATGTACTTGTAAGGAAACTCTGAAACCACAAATGAGCTGTTTTACAACTTCTTCCAGAGCCGCTGCTGACTTGCTCAAATCTACATGCAAACTCTGCATCTGGTTTGTGGTCTCCAGCTTTTTTAACTCGTCACGTTTCTCCACTTCTAAGAATAACTCTGTAGCTGTCTGGACTGAAGCCAGGATCCTTAGCCTCTCTGCTTTGAACCTCCAGGTGTCCTCGCTGTCCCCGCCGCAGTTAGCATGACACTGAGGAGATAAGAGAGACTCTATATCTTTATCTTATCCCCGGGTGTAAGCCCATGCTGTGCTTTTCAAGTCATCTCCAGAGCCACGCAGAACATAAGAAAGTCCATTGTCCTGAGTGGACTTCTGGAAATTGAGATGGACAACAATTGATTAGTTCCGAATAGACCTGCTTTATTCATAGCTGGGATTTCATTTGATTTGCACACAATTTAGTGTTTTAAAATAGTTTTTAGTTGGGTGCAGTGTCTCTGTATTGTGTGGTTTGGGTCATTAGTCAATACTGGGTTCGTTCTGGTCAGACTTGGTTTTGCAGATTTTTGGAGTACTTGGTTTTAGGCCTGGTTTGCATAATTTTGTCCTCATTTTGGGAAGATGAGTTTGAGGTACATTTTTTAAATTTTTGATTGTCTTTTAGTGTTTCAGTATTCACGAATCAGGTGCATTACCCCGCAAATACAGCTGATTTTCTATATTTGTAGGGTAAATTTGACCTATTTTTATGGCCTTTGCTTATTAGGGTAGATTTCCGTTCCATGCCTGCTTCAAGTAGATATAGTGACTCAAAAAGTGATCCACCCTTTAACGGTTTCCTCAACCGTTTGGTGGATCACTTTTTGAGTCACTATATCTACTTGAAGCAGGCATGGAACGGAAATCTACCCTAATAAGCAAAGGCCATAAAAATAGGTCAAATTTACCCTACAAATATAGAAAATCAGCTGTATTTGCGGGGTAATGCACCTGATTCGTGAATACTGAAACACTAAAAGACAATCAAGGATTAAAATTTAAAAAATGTACCTCAAACTCATCTTCCCAAAATGAGGACAAAATTATGCAAACCAGGCCTAAAACCAAGTACTCCAAAAATCTGCAAAACCAAGTCTGACCAGAACGAACCCAGTATTGACTAATGACCCAAACCACACAATACAGAGACACTGCACCCAACTAAAAACTATTTTAAACACTAAATTGTGTGCAAATCAAATGAAATCCCAGCTATGAATAAAGCAGGTCTATTCGGAACTAATCAATTGATGTCCATCTCAATTTCCAGAAGTCCACTCAGGACAATGGACTTTCTTATGTTCTGCGTGGCTCTGGAGATGACTTGAAAAGCACAGCATGGGCTTACACCCGGGGATAAGATAAAGATATAGAGTCTCTCTTATCTCCTCAGTGTCATGCTAACTGCGGCGGGGACAGCGAGGACACCTGGAGGTCAAAGCAGAGAGGCTAAGGATCCTGGCTTCAGTCCAGACAGCTACAGAGTTATTCTTAGAAGTGGAGAAACGTGACGAGTTAAAAAAGCTGGAGACCACAAACCAGATGCAGAGTTTGCATGTAGATTTGAGCAAGTCAGCAGCGGCTCTGGAAGAAGTTGTAAAACAGCTCATTTGTGGTTTCAGAGTTTCCTTACAAGTACATTTTTGCCTCGGCTATCCATGTTTCAAATTAGTGTCAATTAGAACCACTGCTTCAAAAAAGTTGAATACATAAAATCCACTTCCGAATGGTGAAACCTTTGAGTTCAAATTTGGTACGACTAAAACGAATGAATATGCTCAGTAGATTAACATAAGGCCTGTGCATCCTGCCCTTAAAAGCACAAGTCAAAAGTCAAGTCTTCCTTTATGACATAAGTGTTTTAACAGAGGAAGCTCTACTTGAGAAATGTACGTAGTGTATATTTCCTAAACCAGAAATTTGCACGTTGATTTCACAGAATGTCAAAATGAGTGTTGTATCCTTCCTTCCAAATGATGTCAACATTATTACCATTGGTGCACCCTTTCCAAAGAGGTTTCTCAACATCCCCTAAAGAAACCCAAATCTAAATCCACTTTGAAAGTTCAGAAAGCCATTCATATTGGAACACAATGCTAAACCATCTTTATCCAGGCAAACCATCTCCATTACACTGTAACCTTATCTCAGCAGATCCATACAAAGACATGCAAACAAAGAGACACTGGACATATGTGATTAATGAAAATTCCAGTCCCAAAAGGAAATCTAACATAGTGACCACCTGCTGGGCAGAGTCAGCGCAGGCAGGGGGCAAATCCCTGAGGGGGCGCCCCTACAGACGCACTGGAGTCACACTGCTGATAAAGCCGGGTATTGAACTTTTTTCTTCTTCATAAAAAACACATTTTGTTAGTCCCAACATATAGAGCCTTATAAAGGTTAAATATAGTATGAATGAGTAAGAGTGGCTTTTTCTGTCGAATAAAGCTGATTAAAAGATGTGACAGAGGCCATAAAATGCACGCAAGGGGAAACTAGTGCAAGAACCAGAATATGTTCAAAGCGAATAACTTTCTTCATAAGTTAAATTGACTTGAAAGTTGCATACCTCAGCTTTAATGTGACTGAATGAATGCATGGAGGATGTACTGTGAACTTAGACTGGAAATGAAACACATGCATGACTTTGTCTGGGATTGTTGCAACAGTAAATGATCAACAGCCCCAAGTAATCTGCTGTTGGCAAGATGTCCCTCTTTCTTCAGTTTCTTCAGTTTCTTCAGTTCCCTCTTTCTCGTTTGCAACATTTGTACCACTTAAAAAGCTTTTGAAACGCATCCAGAATGACAACAAGTAGTAACAAACACAAGGTTCAAGTCTAGGTTCAAAACATTTCTATTTAGTTGTGCATATAAGTGAAAGGTTTTATCTACACTCTTTTCAATGTACTGTGATTACTAATGTGGGTATTTGTTTATGGTTTCATGTCCCTCTATAATTTTTGTTTCTTGTTTTTATAAACGCACTTTGAGTTGTCTTGTACCATACACATATACTGCATTTACCTTACCTAATAAACAAATCATCATTGAGATGTCTTTAAATTGATATAATGTCCATATTCACAGTGCATTTGAGCAACTTGTCCGTTCTAATATAGGCCTATGCTAGCTAAAGCAGCAGCAGAAGCTAAAGAGACACCAGCAACAGCCCCAGTCTTATCAGAGGCCTATTGGAACAGACAGGATCTGCTCCATCTGATTAGTGACGTGAGGCGTTGAGAATAATCTTCTTTCCTGTGAGCCTGAGGCGCACGGATCAGGTGTCAGAAACCTCTGCAAAAGCAAAAGCCATCAGAGAGGGGCACTGACCTGACCCACCAACAAACATATGGTGTACTTCAATTTAAAGCTGATATTAAATCAGTCAAACCAGGCCTGCCTTGATATTGACATTATTATAATATTATTAGTAGAATATTTTGACTTTTTTACAATTTTAACCTTTCTTCATAAAACTCAATATAATCTAAACCTTTTCTTCTCTTTTCTCATGTGAGCCTATATTATTTTGATAGTGAATAAGTGAATAACTAACTATGTGGCGTGTAACTACATCATTTATTCAGCCCTGATTATTTAGGGGGCCTTTAAAAATGATAGAATATTGCATCACAAAGCACTATTTTCTTTAAAAACTAGACCTCAGGCCGTGAACTCCCCTGATTCTGATAAATTCAAAGTTTGACACACAGAGCTTTAAGTCACCAGTTCTCATTGTGTTGGTTCAACGTCAAAACTGCTGAAGAGAGAGATTCATATGGAGAACCAGGTTTGCGTAAGATCTGTACATCACAAATCTAAGTGAATTCGTGTTATTTTGGTTTCAGCTGGAGCAATGAAACAGTTATTAGCCCTGACTCACAAATAAATGCCAGCGTCTCTTCTATAACATCAATGAAGCAGTGTTTTCCTCACTTACTCATTCTTCTCCAGGTGCAGGGTGAGATCCTGGCCTTCGGCTCTGATCACAACCTGAGCTTTCGCAGGATGTTGCTGCTGCTGCTGACACAAAAAGGGGAAAACACCACACATGAATCACCTGGGTAAAAGTGTTCATTAAAAACTACAGAGCCATTATAGCGTCTGGACTCATGTTTTAAAACAGATGGTCAAACTGCTGCAGACACGTGACTCACCTCCGCACTGGGAGACCGTCTTCTTCTCTGCAGCCAGATGGGATGGGTGACCTCGTACTGCTGCACCTGGCCAAGGATGCTCCCCGATACTTTGTTATTGTCTGAAAAAGAAAAAATGTATGAAGGGGTTGATCATGAAGACTCAGACTGACAAGTTTTGTTTGTCATTAAAGCTGGGGTCCATAAATAACTATAATAATATTGGAATACATTGAGGCTATGCTCCTGTGGACTCACCACCTGCAGAGGGTCAGTGAGGGGCTGGTGCTATGAGACTTGGGTGGCATCTCTGATTGCCACCCCCCTGACCCAGAAATGGATTAAAGGGTAGAAAATGGATGGATGGATGGATGGAATATTGGAATACATGCCTTTACCTATTTTTACTCATACTTGTTTGTATCTTGAGCCAGCAGATTCCTAGTTTGTGACTTTGTGTTACTTACAATGGCAATAAAAATGTAGCCCTTGCCACATCTTAAGTTCAGCGTTTTCAAGTAAACGTGCAAAAAATAATGTTTTCAAATAAGATGAATACATCATGTTGTGACTGATTTGTTCACAACCATTTACTCTTATTCTTCCTGTTGGGAGAAACACTATGTATCATTTATAAGAAAAGATAATGTAAGTACCACAGCTTTACAGTGATACTGCTTTGGCTATGATGTTCCACAGAAAGGTTTTAAACTAGTTAAGTCCATAAAGGTGACATCACCAGGCCAATTTACAAGTTTGTTGTACCAAGAGGCAACCCCTCCTCCAGTAAGAAAGCATTGTCTTTCAAAGTGCAATATAACGATTATTGTTGAATGGAAGGATGGACAAAAGCAAAACCATAATCTCTTCATCGATGTAAATAAAGTTACATTTAAAATGTTTGAAATAAAATGGCACATGTGCTAAATGGCCGCCTGTGCTATAACCTCACAATGTTGTATAAGGACTGCTGTCTGAGAAATTGTATTCCACTAGGAGTTGTAATAAACTTTACTTTTTCTCTTTTACTTGTCTTTAACTGGATCGGCTCTGCATCAGTGATAATGATAATTTGGCCTATTCAGGACATACAGGTTTGCTTGGCATTTCAGGGAAGTAAACTTGATCAATGATATGATCAATGATATTGCTCCTTTTTGAAATAAATAACCATGGTGCTTTTTAGTAATATCATAACTGTATTTGATCCTATGCCATCTTTGTTCTGCAAGCATTCAAACTACAGAACCACAAGTTGCAAGGAATAAACAAAGCTAAAGCCACAGTGCGTGAACAAACTATTCATTCAATGTTCCACAATAACTCCACATCACTGTAACGAAACAATAATACAGTAAATAAAGCACACAAAAAACATAGCTAGCAGTTGCACAATGGTCCCTATTGAAATAAGTGGGCTCACCATTGTAAACAGCGCCTTGAGGTAGAGCGGCCACACACAGCAGCACCATGACACTCAGCCCAGCATCACAAGCGCTCATCCTGGCGACAGTGTCTGCTCCAAACGCAGCCGCCAGAGCGAGGCATCCACGCACACGGACCGGAGGAGGTCAGATAATGTTGCTATAAAAGTCCGCGGTGATAGTGAGGTGACATGGCGATGCGCTGGCTGTGAATGGGATGCTGCTGGAAGCGCGCTGCACGCACCAAGAGCGTCAGTGAGCCACGCCCCTCCGGCCCCGAGCGTGAGGAGAGGCCACAGACCGAGAGAGAAGAGATATGATACTGTTTATGGCTAAAGAGGCAAGAAGAGGCAAAAAAGAAGCAGGCTGTGATGAGATGTGGACCCGCCGGTGCTATAACCTCACAATGTTGTATAAGGACTGCTGTCTGAGAAATTGTATTCCACTAGGAGTTGTGATAAACTTTACTTTTTCTCTTTTACTTGTCTTTAACTGGATCGGCTCTGCATGGTTCACTTTGGGAAATTAATCTTTTTTTATTTGGGGTGTAAAACCAGAAATAGGTGAACACCAGTGACTTACTTATACTTAATACTTATTTTGAAACAGATCTGTGAAGAATTTTGCCCCCAACTGAACCAGATTAGTTCCAGTTAAAGTCAAAAAGATTATTTGTCGATCCAAAGTATGTTGAATCTTATTGATTGAAATAGTTAATAAAAAAATGCATGACTGAAGACGTGAAGATGAGTGAGCCTCCTATTTATCATCTCTCATCCTTGGAAAAGTTGGACCATTTAATATGCTCCTGCAGTTTAGCAGGTGGACTAAGTCTACCTCGAAATCAGTTTCAAAAGTGACTGATTTTCCTTTGTTGCAGTTCATCCATGAGAGCGCACCCCAATGTGTGTCTCCAGAAGGGTTCTCACTTTTTCCCCAATGTTATGTTTTTAGTTGTTCCTGGTCAACACAGGAGGATCTAAGGACAATGATGACCCAGGACATTTCTGGACATTTCTTGACAGTGGTCATCGAGCTCTCTACGAACCAATGGCTCCTATACCTTTGTTATTATTAGTATTATTATTTCCTGTGTTCAAACTGTTTGATTCTCTGCTCTGTTTTTGATGAATCGACAACTTAGTAAAGTCCTCCAATGTGTGGGGAAATACAAAATAAATTTAAATGGAATCAAAACACCTTTCTTCAACAATTTCAGACAAGTTGGTGTATGATTAATACTGATCTATGGAGTATAGAGCTCAATTATGACTTTGTGTTGAATCCATTATGCATGTACACTTCTGAATGCCATGAATGAAAACACATGGTGCCTTTAAATAACTTTACTTGTGTCTGCTTGTCAAAACGGTTCTTGTGAGTGGGATAGACTCGAGCATTAGAAAGAGTAATAGGACGAAAAAAAGAACATTCTGGTTATTTCAAAGATATAAAATCAGAAGATAGAGTTTAATAATTGAAAACATGAATCATACGAAGGGTACACGGATTGTACACGGATCCCTTTGTCATTTACCGGTACATATTGCACAAGAATGAATTAAAGTAACCATACTCTAACTATATTTTGGAAAATCTAAGTATAACCATGATGTCAGATGTTGTGTAGAACTGCCATAGTAAATGCTAATTATTTATAAGTAATGCTTTCATATGCTCCACCATGCAAGCTCCAGGCAGGTTACATAAACTACAGTAGAGTGAAATAGTTGGGCCAAGGCTACCGTACCAAAAATACTGGTCTAGTAATCCAAATGAAACTGACCCCTCTGGAGTAACAAAATACAGTGAGCCAGAAGTGCCCAGAGCCATTCATACTGAGGCATCCTTCCTAAGTGTGATGATAAATAGGCCTGGGAGCACATGGCAAAGTGATGGTGTGTGTGCGTGTGTGTGTGAGCAGGGTGTGTGTGTATTCTTAGCTCTGATGACAGTGCAACAGCCTCATGAATCCATTCACTTCTAAAAATGGTGTCCTGGCATCAAAACAAGGCCACTCCAGTGCAGTGGGGTTTTAACATCTGCTGCAACCCTTGTGCAGCCCGGACTGCGGCCAACAAGAATAAATTATGAACGTAACTTTCGAACTACAATAATGGTATGGCGTGAAAAAATCCATAAAGTTCCTCACTCTCAAAACAGTTTGGTTCGGCCAATAGTTGTCACATGCATGTATTTCTAGCCTGTTTGATCTTAAATTATAAAACAGTTGGAGTGCGATTTGTTCACATGGCTCTATTTGTTGGGACGAGAATGTATTACTTATGAAACAAAAAAGTTAAGTCTCCAGCTTTAAGGCATGTATGACAGTTTGGTTTAGACACGTCTTTTATATTCATAATTTCACTTCCTTGTAGCAACTGTGCAATAAACTGGGCTAAAACTCCCCCCCACTGTAAACTGGAAATATAGATGGATTAAACAAACAGCTCTATGATCTCTCTCTCTCCTATAATACCATTCTAGATTGATGCTCTCCTTTCTGTACATTTCAAAAGGTTTTAATGTTTTATTCATAAACTGAGGCTTCATACGTGTAAAACTATGATATTTAAATTATTCCAGCAGAAAAGGTCAAATTTGGAAATGCATTTAAAAATATCAAACGCATTTTCTGGAATATTATTGGAAATACATGCTTTTGTTTTTCATAGTTTTTTCATCACTGTAATAAAGTGTCAACTCAAAAGGGCAATAAAATAGATTGGCATTAAGTAGTCAGTGAGCGTCAGTGAGAATAGTTGTTGCATAGGGTCAAATCTTTGTGTGGAAAATCCTCCATGTCGTTATTCCATATCAATGAAATGTACTCCGTGTCTTGCCTGAATGGTCCACTCCACCATATTATGTTATTTTGCAAAAAAATGACAGCCGCTACTAGCTGTCAGCCTCTAAAATGCCCGGGTGGTCCTCCCAAAACTGGTCTCCTATGATGTCACAGTGATGGGCCTGGACCGTCTTCTTGCTCCGAGTCACGATCACATCTTTCTCCTCCTCGTTTGGAATCTTCATGCGCTTAGTGACACTTTCATCTATCTAGAATACAGAGACACAATCTAAACATTTATACAACTCTTCTATGTTACAATGACCAGCTGCTCTCTGGTCATTGATATAGAGCTGGAGGGGTTACCTTTTCCCAAATCAGAGTAGTTCCTTTTCTGTGAAGAAGAGACTCTTTGTTGTAGTTTATATCAAACTCAGAAAATAGGATTTCATTTTTGTCTGCGGCCAATGTTCCCTATAAGAAGAAAAAAGAAGCATAACAATAGTCAACAATAGGATTACATTTGTAAATGTCATCCAACCACTAAGTAAGCCACCCTCAAACTAAGATTTACAGTCAAATTCAAATAGATTAGATCTTAACTCTTAAGGTTAACTCAATAATAGGAAAAAATAGAAAAAAATAATGTTTTCAGAAGCCAGGTTGCTGTATAGAAAAGGTCCTGGATTCAGAATCTCATGTAGCAATTTGACTAGTTTGGCACCGAAAGAACTACACTTAAAATCAGGCTGAAAAATAATACATTGAATAAAAGGGGCACACAAAACTCGAGAGTGTTTTTAGAATCACGTTGCACAAACATCCACACATTCCACATTTCATCCACTGTCGTCGCCTCATCTGTGTTTCCGACGCAGAAGAAAGCTGCAGCTGTTAGGAGCACTGACAGGGCTGGTGACCACCCTGAAACAGGCCTGAGACAGGCTGGACCCCTTTGTTATTTTGTTATTGCTTTTACTAAAGTCCCATGAGGATTTACTGGTCCCTCAACGCAATTGATTCTATCTTTTCAACACGTAAGCGCGGGTCTGGAGAGCCCGTGTGCCCGGACGGGACTTCACCAGCGGGGTATACGCTTGACAGCTGGAACAAGTTTCAGCCCCTCTGTCTGTCGACCCTGTCCATTGAAGATTCGGAAGACGTATATATCTTTGGCATTTTGGTGGTGGGGATCCTCCTGTTTGGGTTTGGAGCGGTTCTCTTCTACCACAAATTCGGAGGCATGGCAGTTCGCAAGATTCACGACCTGCTGGCCGAAAAAATTGATGGGATGTACAAGGAGCTTAACCGAGTCGTGGTTGAGAGCGCTGTGGCTGGACAACGAAGAGTGGTGTTAGTGGAACAGTTGATCAAAGATCTCGCAGCTCGTTCACTTGATGGTCATAAGACTCTGGAATTGAGATTGAATGACATTGTCTGCCAGGCTTGAACTCTCTGACCCGGCTTGGATTTGCCCCTGTGTATGGGGTCTGAGGGCGCTGTAATTTGGTCTAATTGGATTTAATAGAATATCTGCCTGTTTTTGACTGCTAAACTGCATACAATATTGTCCCTCGTTACAGGAGATGTGTTCTCTCCCTATTGTGTCTTCCCTCCTCTCTTATCTCACATTCCTCGGGCCAAGGCCATCATAATAAATCTGGTCTCTACAAAAATTTCACACTCCTCTCCCTCCCCTCCCCTCCTTACTGTGTTTCCGACTCACCCCCTCCCTGACCCCGCCCCCCTCTGACAGCCACATTGGACCGGCAGGCCGGAGGTGCTCATCCCGTGAAAAAAATCCGTGGTTTATACAAAGCACAATGTTTTCTATCCAACTGTCTGTTGTTACCTGAATGTTATTGCTCTCTGCTGTTTCTTGCTGCACACAGCGCCGCAAATGGCGAAGTGGCACGCTCTCTGCCAAGACAATTTCCAAGTGATAACTTTGTTACTCACGTGGCAATAAAAATGATTCTGATTCTGATTCTGATTCTGATATTGATTACAATCAAAAGGCAGTTGTGTCTCGGACCTCATTTTTTCCTTTTAAAATTGGTTAGAATTAAGTTGAGTTTTGTGCAGTGTACGCAACCATATCATATTTTTCTAGGTTGAAAATACTGAAATTATATGATTTTGTGAAGCAGGAGTAATGAACCTCTGCTGTTGTTTCACAGCATTTTTGGACTTGCGTGTTCGTTTGTTGAATGGGTCAGGCCCAGTGTTGTCAAATTACAATTTCAAACTCGATTTTGATATTAAATGGATCGATTTGTGATACTCAATACCAATTTTCAATCAGTGATTTTAATATGCCACATTTATGATGCCACAACTTTCTTTCCTTATTCTTTAGAAACAGTTACACGTTTATTTATTTTCAGGAAATGTCCCATTTTGTTCTGTTGGCTTACAGTTTGGCGTCTTACGTTTATTTTTTAGAATCAATACTTACTCAATTCAAGTTTTACTAGTTATATCAAATAATTGGCTCGATTGGCTTTATCAAATATCGTCTACTTTTTGATACTTTGGAGAACCATATTTACTAATTCTTATTTCAGCCCGAACCCTTTTCTTGTGATTATAGTTATGTTAATGATTATTGATGTGTATAACCAAATAAATTACTGCTGTCTACTTCTACTACTACTCCTCCTCAACAAATCTTGAGGAGTAGTGACTATGAATGTCACATAATACAAGCCATACTAAATCCATAGCAATTAATACCAACAAACATGATCATTCTTTAGCCATTTTACACCAACTACTTTAATAATTCTTTTACCTTAAGGCGTTCTTCGGCTTGTACCGTTGTGAGTCCTCCTTTTTGCACTAATGTCCAGAAAACGGTGTTGTACAAATTATTGATGTGACCTGTCGGACAACATGTATCTAATTAATACAACTGCATTAACCAGGTCATTCAGGTGTAATGTACATTTAAAGATATTTACAATCGGCCTGCCTCCAGCTCAGATAGTCTCTGAGGTTGCGATTAGTGGGATAAAGCACAACACGGCCGTCGAAGCCCGGAGGATACAGCAGCGGCTGGTCCCCAAAAAATTCTTTCCAATAAAACACATACGAGGAAGAGAACTGGGAGGCTACGTGGGTCATGAATTTACTGAAAGAATATGGGAGACATTAGTAACTAACATTTGAATTGAGACACAAATACTAACAAATCTTATCACCTGGCTCTTCTCTTAAACCAGTGTGTGGTTCTTTTAAAAACAAAACTGAACTCATCACTCTGGCCATAAGCAATGACAACATCTTCAAGCTCTTCCATCACAGAGCGGGCACTTCTAGTCAACAGACCGAGAGCTCTGTTGTCATTGGGTTTAGTGAATTTGTGCTGCTCTGCAAACCTATATAAAAAAGGCAGATGTATAGCAATAAAAACAGATACATCATTACCATTAGCTCAATTGGCTGAAAGGGTTGAACTCACTTGTGGAAGTTGCGACCATCAAGTCTGACCACAATGTAGCAGTTTCTGAGGCAAGTGTCATCTGCTTCAAAGTTGCGGACGTATTCAAACTTGCTCTTGGCCATAACACTGGAGCTGATGGATAAACTTGCAAGAGGTTTGACTAGACTTGGACTGGCAGCGTTGCACAATCTGCTGGCCCCAATGACTGCCAACCTGGAAGACAAAACATGTGGTATGTTGTCATGAAATGTATTAGGGTATTTTGGAAGATAAACATGTAGAGCAGCGTTTTGAAATACTATGTAATACATGTAATAAGACTTACATTTAGATGACCATGCGAATGTAAGCACTTTTCGATTTCAATTCAATAAATGTTATACATATGTGTTACTAATATTACTATTCCACGTTACTGAATCAGACTGTTCAAGGTAAAAGAAGCAAATCCTTCCACGAATGTATGGATTGCAGTAGGTCGCACACGCCGGTTTGTGTACAGTCCGTAGCCAAAGTCTGCCGTGGTCAACAAGCTCACACACGAAGGTTCCGGTTATGGATTACTTGTTTAATTGAGCTGGAAACCATTATTTAGAAACCAAACTTGGTTAAAAAAACATATGCAGTAACTATATATTTTATAATATATGTGACAAGGAGAATTACTTTCCTCCTGCCACGTTATTGTTTTTTCACTTCGTAAAGTCTATGGTAAATACACAATAGTGATTTGTCTCCATCTTGTGGTTACTTGTGGTACAGTGGAGAACAACTTCAAAGATCGTGAATGAAAAGACGGTGTTTCATATTTTCTGATTTAAATTGGTGTTTGAATGGTCATTGAAACACAATCGTGACCTTGTTATTTTAGCTATGCAACCAGTATTATTATAAGTTGATGTTGGTGTTTTTGTTTTATAAGGGCAATTTGTGTGTTTGTTCATAATCTTCAAATTCAGCAGAGTGAGGTCTCTGTCACCCCATTGTACACCCGGATGTTAAAGTTTCCCGGGGTAAAAATTAAGCATCGGAGAAGCACCATACTGCACACATGGAGGAAAGTGAAAGAAAGCATGGGAAATCTGACAGCAAAGAGAAGAAATCTACACCCGGGACCTGCACTCCGGAGCCCGCACAAGCCACAACCAGTGCAGCCGCGGAGGGGGACGAAACCGACGTGTGCTCGGAGAAGTTCGACCCGATGCTCGCCTTGTACTCTCCCACCGTCACACTGCCTTTCCCCAACGCCCTGTGCCTCAATAATCTGGCCGCCTACGAGAGCGCTCTGAAGGGTAGCAGGGCGAGGGGAGCCAAGCCCGAGAATGTGGAGAGACGGCGAAGAAAAGCCATGAAAGGAGTGGCGGACCCGGAGAGGATCGAGCGGCTGAAGAAGCTCATGGTGAACAACCCGGTGGACCCGGAGAGCAGCGGAGCTCAGCGGGGCCGCAGGAAGAGCAAGCCGGTGAAGAACGTTCTCACAAGGATGACAGGTGGAATCTGTTTGTTATTGTGGCTCATTAGCAGAATGTTGAAGACAAAAAGTGGTTTACATTTTGTATTTTGGACAAAAAAGTGATTATTCGACTAAATTTATTTTTATTATTTGTAATTTTTGTCTTCTGACCTCTCATTTGTATAGTATAATTAATATGAACGTGCTAAAACGATAATCTAAAAGAGGACCTTTTAATTGGCGGCACGGTGGCTGAGTGGCTGAGTGGATAGCACTCTCGCCTCTCAGCAAGAAGGTCCTGGGTTCGAATCCTGGTTGGACCAGGGCCTTTCTGAGTGGAGTTTGCATGTTCTCCCTGTGTCTGCGTAGGTTTCCTCCGGGTGCTCCGGTTTCCCCTACCACTAAAAATATGTACAATAGGTCTGACATGTGCCTCCTGTACTGGCACCCCCACCCAACAATTGTAAACCGCTTGAGACTCCGATGTGCAGTGAAAAGGCGGTATATAAATAAAAGCTTACTAGCTTACTTACTTAATTTGTCTCACAGTGGAGATATTTCAGCGTTACCACATTACAGTACAGTGGGGAGTACAGTACAATAAAGGGAGCAAACAAAATGAATAAATATCTGTCTTTTAATTATATTAAATCAAATCTGTATTATAATTTGAAGTATATGACTATAACTATCTGTGAGTTACTGAAATACCTTTTAGGATTCATACAGTTTCTACAGTGGTGTACTTTTGTTACATCCCCTTTGGGAAAGGACCCATGAATAAGGATCAAATGTATTAAAGTTAAATTTGTCCATATGCTAAAACATCTCTTCATATAAGCGATCAGGCGGTGGTTGCATAGCGTCGTTAAGTGCATCCTAAGTGGTCAATAATGATGAAGGTGCAGAACATGTTGTGTGCTTCTTGCTATCGGCCTATGTATTTGTCTTACTTATTTTGTGATGACTTCTTCTTGCAGTGTGCGAGGGCAGTCCTCTGGGGGAACTCTACAGATATATTCAGGAACGAATCCGGGTCAGAGTCCACATCAGGACCTTCAAGGGGCTCCGAGGCATCTGCTCCGGCTTCATTGTTGCCTTTGACAGGTTCTGGAATATGGTGAGAGCAAAGGATTCAACGTCAACATTTTGAAAGTGGATGTAATTACGTATTAATTGTGAAAACCTAATCTGTATTTTTCAGGCCATGGTTGACGTGGATGAGACGTACAGAGAGCCTCTCCTGGGACAGGCGTTCTACCATGAGAAGGCGCTCACTGTTACAAGGGTAAGTGTTTTATTTAAAGGGGGGGGGGATTATGTTTATTCAATTACTATTTAGTATAAGTGATGAGATATGTGCTTAAATGTACACATACAGTATATATTTCCCGAGTATTATAAATAAACAAAACAACAACATAAAAACGTGTCCTGATTGTAAATTTGCAGCATTTTTTTGAATTATTGAATTACTTTTTAAACCAGAATTGTTCTCCCAAGTCAAGATTGTCCCCTCTTTCATTTGAACAATGCTTGATTATTTGTTTCACAGTTGTTTGAGAAGCTGAAGTTACAGGAAAGTTTGGAAGCAGAAGAACCATCAAAAACGGCAACAACCAAAGTAAAGGAGAGTGAATCGCAGAGCACGGCCAGCAAAGGAGCGGCCTCAAAGGATCGAAAGGAAGTCCCACATAAATACGGCAAAGTGCGCACACGACACATCAACCAGCTCTTCATCCGCGGGGAGAATGTGGGTGCTGGTCAGTCCTCAGACACTTTGAAACTTCAGAAAGAGACGGGAAAGCAAACTGTACCCTATAATGGAAATATGTCATCAAATCCAAGTTGTTCATGTATTGTTGGCCTCTATTACATCGTTAGATACACTTTTGCGGACGAAAAAGTGAAAAGATCACTCTCAACAAATCAGCTTTCAGCCCAAAGCATCAAATAGCGACTCAATAGAGCTTCTTCTTTAAAATACCTTGAAGCTGAGGTGTTTTACTTTTTTCACCATAAATAACAGGTTTAGTTTTTCCTAACCGAAAAAGTTTGGTGAAGTGTTTTACGTATTCTTGATAAAGTTAATTTGGCTAACATTAGCAACAAAAAACAAAAAATTACATTGGATTATTATCTTCTTGTTTGCTCAACACTTATTAAATTATTATTACTATGAATGTGCTGAAATAAACTCTAAAAAAGGAAGACTCTGGTAAAATGTCTTGATCTTAATAGAGATAAATATCTTTGCATAATTTAGAATAAACGTCTCTTTCAGTCACGTTTTTGATGCTTTGGCCTCTATTTTTCACTTTTCTCTCTGAAAAAGATGATCTGAAGATGTGTCAGAAGCCACAAAAATACATGTAACACTTTTGAGAGTGAGGAACTAGCTAGATGGAGTTTAATACAAGTAAAATAAATAATAATAATAATAACCCTAAATAACCCTAACCCTAAAAAAAAGGAAAACAAAATGTGATTCTGATAGAGGTGGGTTGTATTGCCAAAATAAATATCTGTTTCTACAACAATATTCAGACATCATTGTGACAAAACATGATTCATATGTGTAGGTTAAGTTCCAAGGTTGTATTTGACTTCTATAATATATTTAACAATATTTAACAATATCATAAATATTTTAACATTGTCCACCTCTACTATTTTTGTGTAACAGCAGTTTCATTAGAGACAACTGAGGGAAAGTAGGTTGTAATGCTGTTTAGTTTTGTACTTACTTAGAATTCAATGATGCTTATTATTATTTCTCTGTTCTTGAGAATCAGATGAACGTATCACATTGATATATATTTGTATTTCTGTCGGCTATAGAAAATATTTGATTTCTTTAAATAAAAGCCAATTTGAGTAACTTCTTTTCAGTGATCTGTCTACACTCTGAGGTAACCCTGAGCTCTGACCTTTTAAAAGGTGTTGGTGGCAGATCTGTGCCTCCTGTACTTTTTTTGTTGAAGAAAGAGTAGCTAAAAGGAAAGTGCTGGTGGCTGAGAGGATAGCACTCGCTTCTCATCAAGAAGGTCCTGGGTTAGAATCCCGGTCGGAACAGGGTCTTTCTGAGTGGAGTTTTCATGTCCTCATCGTGCCTGCGTAGTTTTCTTCCTACCAATAAAAACATGCACACTAGGTATAATCCTCCGATAGTCCTGACCAAGCCAAGGATCAACATCTGGAGATGGGTTCCCGGGCACTGGACTACGGCGACCACTGCTCCTGATGTAAGCCATAGCAGCTTCAGGATGAATCGAATGCAGAGGATGAATTGCCCTACGGGATAAATAAAGTGTTCGTTAAAATGAATGCTGAGTAATTGTTGGACAATATCTTTTCATTTTGAGCATTGCTTTTAAATATGAAACATTTATACAAAAAATGTTTTAGACTATAAACTTCAAAGTTGTTTTTATGTTGTGGTGCCAACTGCAAATAATGAGTCATTTGAGTCGAAAGTAAAGTAATTTTGTAAAAGTAAAACTTTTTGCTAAAGTACTCTAACACTACTTTAGTAGTCTCCTGAAGTACTGTAAAAGGACTTAGTTTTCGAATTTGGATGCAGTCCTGTGTGTATTTAGTGTTGTCCAGCAGGTGGCAGCAGAAGGCCGTGCGTCATGTGCGTGAGTCCATTGTCATCGCTTGTCCCTTTATGTCCCGCTCCTGTGTTAGTTTGAGCAGAGATGACAGCGCGGTCTCAGCGGGCTTCATAAATGCATTATGAATAATTGAGTTTGTGAAGCTCGAGATTGCAGATGGCACTCAAAAGCTGTCATTTGTCTTGACGTCTCGGATTGCCTTTACTCTTTAATGGGCGCATTACCCATAAAAGCACAATTTACTGCATCTCCGAGAAGTTGTAAAGATGTTGCGTTTTTCTGTTTGACTGGCAGCGGAGAGTTTAGTGCACGGGGCGGCGAAGAGGAGGCTACTTTTCTATTGTTTTCAGAAACTTATCAGACTGGTCCAAACGCATAGATACATCTGTAGAAACGGCCTCGATGTGGACTTGCTTCATATCTGCTCGATTATTATTTTACAGAGGTGGCAAGTACCATTATAGATCCATGCAAGCAACTAAGTACTTCAACTTCCTGGTATCAGTATTTTACTATATATTCTGACCACATTTGTACTATTACTTTAAACTCAAATATTTGTACTTTCCAATCACAAAAGGGTTAGTAATTTTGAATATGACAAGGAAACTCAAAAAAGGAGGACGTGTGCCCAATGCAGTACATGCTTCTAAGTTAATTCATGCATTGAGGTTAGCCATGCTTCTATGAAAACCCTTTATATTAATGGAAAAATCATTTTACCTACATGTACAAGCTTGTACTCTATTACTTGTACTTATCTAAGGGAGTTTTTTTTATTATTCATTTATTTTTATTATTGTTTATTTTTTAACCAATATTGACTTTTATTTAAGCAACTTAAACTTTGCCACATTGGTCATCATAGGTGGGTAATTTGAGTGGGCTTGCTTCTCCAGACCTTCCTCATATTGTCCTGGAAGACAGCTACTCTCAGCTGTATATAACAATTAGAATTAGATTATGAATGATCACTAACTCATCATGAGTGGTTGTGCAAAACCATGTAACGTCAACAAAACACAATATTATATTTTTAAAATGACAACATAATTGCAAGGTGGCCCAGGAATGTACTGAGCTTTTTGCCAAGAGGATTGTGCAGCTTTAGCATCAGAGGAATAAAGAATCTCATGCACAACTACCACACAATACTGCATGTCTTTGTCATTTTACATTTTACATGTATCAATAGTATATTAAGATGGAAAAAAAAACATTTGAATGATTGAAACTCATTTCAACCTGAGAACACAAGTTGGTCTGACCTTCTTCTCATATATTCCATACATTAATAAAAGTATAAATGGGACAAAGTAGCTGAGCTGTGTAGCAACTATACTTTTCACATGTTTGAGAATATTATTAGTGTCTCCCATTTATCAGTCTCGATCTCCAGAGAGTAAAAATGGGGTCAATTGTTTAACGTGAGCCATGTTTTACTTGTATTTGTTACTTGATGGAGCACAAGGAGGGCACAGAAGTTACAATAAAGAGCTGCTTCGCCACTGTTCTATGCATCTTTGTCTCTTCTATATATACTGCAGCCTAATTAGGTCATTTAGGCTGTTAAATCTATATAAGCGAGATTTTAAAACAGTTTTAATGTTTCCAGATCAATTATAAAACTGTAAAATGAATTATTAAGAGCAGGGATGTTCTAATAGTCCAGGAAAACTATAAGACTTTGGGCCCAAAAAGGGAGCAAGTTGGAATAGTTTTTTTCTCTCCCCCATGAGGTTTTGATGAGGTCAGGTGTTGAGAACTATACTAGAGGTCCTAAGAAATCCTAATTGCACAAATAGGTTCAATTTTCAACCATGTACTTTTTAATTTGGTTGTTATATCGATATACGTTGTGCAGGTTCGGAAAAAAACCCCATCTAAAATAAACATAGGAAAGGGCAGGCAAATAGCATTTTTTACCCTATAGGTTCCCGCATTCACCATCTTCTAAAGAATTCATTATTTCACTTTCAAAAACATGAAATGACAAAGTAAATAGAATAATGTATTATCCTTGTATAGCCAATATATAATGCATCATTTATTTTAATGCTCTGAAAGAAACCCATTTTGTATAACAGGTTTCTTTTTATGATAATTGTACTCTACACAATATTTTGGACTATTTGATTATGTATATTATATCTTCAAATTAATCAGCAAAGAGACTTGTAATACAACTTATTTTTACTATGTTGCATATTGTGATAGGAATAGCTGTTGTAGCCAATACCATTCGACACAAATCTGGAATATTAATGGAAATAACTGATGTGCCATTTCCCGCCATCTCCCCATCCCTCGTCACAACTTTAAGTAATTTCAAAGTTGAATGTGGCTGCAGATGTGCTGCTTGAAGCGCTTTTAAAAATGGGACTAATGATATATAACACCAAATAACACAGGCCATTAACAAATTTCAATCAACTGTTTAATGTTGTAAATAAATCTCGTTGAAAATCAAAATGGATACAAAATGCAAAAAATATAATTTTCTGGAAGGATTTGCATGTCTAAACATTTGCATATATATATATTCTAGTGTTTCAGTAACAATCCCAGCTCAACAATCAAAATACGTAAAAATAATATGCACACAAAAATAAGCTAAATGTTTTTTTTGTCTAAAATAAATTGATTTTGGTCATTAAAACGATCGGGTTATGATGATCGGCGACTGTTACTGCTTGGGCTCGCACAGCACTCTTCACTGTTGGAGGGAATTCTCTCATCAACAAAACAGGCCACACAAGTTAGACATTAAAAAGGGTGACATCAGGCACTTTGTCCAAACAGTGCACCTCATATATACACAAGCAGCGGGAACTACAGCAGTGAAGCCAAAAGAGGAAACAAATCCCTATTTTTGGACAGGTCAAATGAAATATGTTTATCAGTTGCAGCACTAGAATCTGTCCATTACTCCAATACTTCTGCTGCAACTATTCCTGAAAAATAGAGATTAATCTGATTTGTTTTGGTTGCACTTGTAATTCGCACACTACTGCATTCTGCGTCAAAGCTGCAAAGTACATTTACACATTTTGGATCTTGGTTACAGCTTTTGTACCTTAAAACACATGACATTTACAAACAGTCTGAAGTCATTTGGTGAGAAGGCAGTATTTCTAAAAGAGTTGCACTTTGGGCACCGATAGGTTAAAGACATCTCCTGTGCGCTTCCACTGGCCTGAAAATTGAATGGCAAAAATAATAGATTTTTTTTTAACCTGAATTAAAACACGCTATCTGTAGAAAACTGGACACATGGCTTCAGCTCAAACACACATTTTATACATTGCACAATCACAAGATTTTATAAGAAGTCTTTCAGGCACTCCAATTCATTCCCACAATCCCTGCATTTTCTCGATTATCCTTTTGTATAAATTAATCTGTAGCTTGAAAATTAAGGCCATCTGGAAGAAAAACTTAAACATTTGAATAAGGCGACTAGGGTAAACCATATTCGGAGTGCGTAGATCTATGTACAGATAAGGCGTCACAAGTTAAAGGCTTGAATGAATATATATATATTTTTGGCCTTTAAGATACAACTCTTTACATTGTCACTGGCTTTTGGGGAGTTCATAAATTACTCAATCTGGGATTTAGATCTATTTACAATTCTGGAAGAACGAGGACAAACGAGAGGTAACTTGCCATTTTCAAAAGTCCATTAGAAAGTTAAAATGTGTGATTATGTCCTTCGCGCTACTGTAAAATGGGTAGGTGTTACAGCAAAGTATGATTGTGATTTGTTGACGTATCTGACTCGACTGAGGTTTAAAACATTCTCACAGTGGCACTTCTTCCAGGGTCGACCAGTAGAGCACACATCTCGAGCGCAGAACGAATCATTGGTTCAAACACACATTCAGGTCCTGTAGATGCAGCATTCAATTGAGATCATAGGTTGTTGGTAAAATCAAAAAGGCAACATTTTTTCAAGTACTCTTTGATTGTAGCTCACGAAAATGACCATCCTTCACCATGGCGACGGAGAGAGAGAAACGATCCTTCACAAGTCACTGGTCTGCTCGGCTCCATCATTTCCCAAAATTGGCAAAGTCTGCGAAGGCGTCAAGTTGTTTGGATTGTTGGACCATTGTCGGGTTCACGGACGCACCCATCGCCATGCTAGCAGCGGGCATCCCCATTGTCATGCCCGAATGAGGCATACCCATGCTCATTCCCATCATGCCCGGGGTGGGACCCATCCCCATCTGCGCCCCTGGATGCATCATGGGGCTCACAGGGGATCTGACAGCGGTCGGTCCCAGGTTCATGGCAGAAAAGCCCTGAGCCAGAATGTTAGGTGGGATCTGGTGTCCTGCAAAAAACAAACAAACTGAGAAAGTGCAAGAATGAAGGTGAAGTATTCTCCCGGACACAATGTAACCTATACATGTATACGTTGCATCACATTGGCAGTTTTTATTGAAGCGTGCCAATGTGTCATGTCATTGTTGTTAGTTTAAGTAATTTGTAAATAGTAAGTAAATAGTAAGTAAGTAAGTAAGTAAGCTTTATTTATATACCGCCTTTCACAGACCAGAGTCACAAAGCGGTTTACAATTGTTATTTTTTGGGCACTTGTCCTCTCACTCCACACAGAGATGGGAGCGGGGTCGCCGAACAGGAGGCGCATGCCAGACCTATTGTACATATTTTTAAATAAATCTAAACCTAATCCTAATCTAAAACATAAATAATATCATCTGTAAGGATTGCATCACTTGTGGAAACATCTTGTGCTCTTGATTCTGACCTTGCTGGAGAGTGTTGAGACTTGGCTGAGCAGGCTTAGAAGGCTGCTGTCCCAGGAAATCCAGGCTGATGTTCACAGAGTGATCGGTCCAGGTGGAAGGTAGGGCCCCTTTAAGGGCCACCCCCTGAGCCGTGGGCTGCATGGACTGAGGCGTAAGAGGGCCCCCCATTGGGAAAGGCTGTAAAAGCAGGAACATGTAATCAGACACACACACATATATTTTACGGTAGAACTCCAGCATGATTAAAGTAGTAGCAGTGATTCTGTCGTTACTCAAACATGACCCACTTCCAACTCTGATACCTGCTGCTACAAGTTCTCATTAAAACATATTGTCTCAGGTAAGTAGTGTAAAAGGAGGCAGTGGGCGTCTTATCAGCAAGGTTTAAGTAGGTCAACCACCTTTTAACATAGAAACAGATGTACATGTGTCAGTTTAAGTTGAGGTTTAATGTTTTGAGTTTAAAATCTGTACTGTGTTATGAAGGAGTGGTGGGTGGTTAGACTGAACTCTCTGGAGGAGAGGAGCCTGTGCCACAGATGTCCTACAGAAACCACACTTCTCCATTAAACATCCATCTTTAATTTAATTACATGTGCGAACAGAAATCATCTCAGGCCTGAGGCCACTTAAGTTTTTTTTAAATTAAAGTTGTAAAAGTCCAATTTTGTATGTATTGGTTTGTGGCTTATAGAAATGAGAGAAACTCAAACTATATTCAAGGCAACACAATTAGGGACTTTTGTCTTTTGCCTGACTTTTGGCTTAATTATAAAAGTTTAATAAATTGAATATTTTCAAAATTGTCCAATTAATAAAAAACCTCATTAACCACAGTTAATGGCGTATTATCACTTAGAGCATCAGTATGTAATTTGGGCTGGTTTAATAAGTAATTAGTATTACAATTTGAACCTTTGTGCTTAACATGCAGACAAGATACTGGCAACACACAATTTAAATTTCTACTACAACTCTGAATGAACATGCCTCAGTGATCACTCTCCGGTTGTCTACGACTATTCCAAAAAAGAAAATGTTTTCAAATGGAACTTGAAAACATTTTCTTGTTTTGATATTTAGTTTTGACGAGCGTGGCCCAACTGACATGGTCCAACACATGCAGCGTTTGGCAGTGGGCTATACAAGTGACACAAATGTATGGCGTACATGGAAGATGGCAGAAAGACTCGACTGCAGCAGAGACATATTTTAACATCTAAAGTGACATGTTTGTGGAAGAAAGTGAAATTATGGAGCCACGTATACTAGTTTAGTATATCTTTAGGAGAAAATATTTTCATGTCATTCTTAACAGCACTAATTCACTCCACACTCAGTAGTGACAGAAGGGAGACCACCATCATCATCATCATTCACCTCATTTCCAACCAATACCTTCCTTGAGGCATAAGTGCAACCCAAATATGTGTTGCAAATTCTGATTCTAATTCTTCTGATTGGATAGCTTGGATCAACTTCAGAACTATACAATTTCAACATAACATGTGCTGGACACCTGGAGTCCTTTCATCAATATAAATCTATCCTCTTAAGAATTTATGTATAATATTAATAACAATAACATTATATAAAAAACACATTAATTCCAGCGACAAACGGCAAACACACACACAGGTGCCAGTTCTATCAATTTAAATGAAAATTAACTTTACATTTGGTAACAAGGTGAGGGTGCAGAAGATTCACAAGTAAAGTATAGAAACAGGGCAGACAGAAAGTGACCCTGCCTGGAACCAACAAACTCTCGGCGGAAGGTCACGCTCTCGTCTTTTTAATGCACCACAAAGAACAGCAGACTTAGACCAGGCATAAACTGACCCGAGCTCGCTCAGAGGAAGCAAACCCTCCCTTCAAAAACCTCACAACTAATCTTGTTTTTCGATTTATCACAAATACACCATCACACACACCCACTAACAAAATAAATAATGTGACCTACACACACACACACACCATACCCCAAAATGCATTTAACCATTAGAATCCTTCCCCCTCCCTACTTTCTTGTATTCCTCATCTGATGTTGTTTCTGTTAGCACTGGTTCTCCTCAGGGATGTACAGTGCCTTGCAAAAGTATTCGCCCCCCTTGAACCTTTCAACATTTCGCCACATTTCAGGCTTCAAACATAAAGATATAAAAATATTTTTTTTTGTCAAGAATCAACAAGTGGGACACAATCGTGAAGTGAAACAATTTTTTTTGGATAATTTAAATTTTTTTAACAAATAAAAAACTGAAAAGTGGGGCGTGCAATATTATTCGGCCCCCTTGCGCTAATACTTTGTAGCGCCACCTTTTGCTGCAATTACAGCTGCAAGTCGCTTGGGGTATGTCTATCAGTTTTACACATTGAGAGACTGGAATTCTTTCCCATTCTTCCTTGCAAAACAGCTCGAGCTCAGTGAGGTTGGATGGAGTGCGTTTGTGAACAGCAGTCTTCAGCTCTTTCCACAGATTCTCGATTGGATTCAGGTCTGGACTTTGACTTGGCCATTCTAACACCTGGATACGTCTATTTGTGAACCATTCCATTGTAGATTTGGCTTTATGTTTTGGATCATTGTCCTGTTGGAAGATAAATCTCCGTTCCCGTCCCCGTCTCAGGTCTTTTGCAGACTCCAACAGGTTTTCTTCCAGAATGGTCCTGTATTTGGCTCCATCCATCTTCCCATCAATTTTAGCCATCTTCCCTGTCCCTGCTGAAGAAAAGCAGGCCCAAACCATGATGCTGCCACCACCATGTTTGACAGTGGGGATGGTGTGTTCAGGGTGATGAGCTGTGTTGCTTTTACGCCAAACATATCGTTTTGCATTGTGGCCAAAAAGTTCGATTTTGGTTTCATCTGACCAGAGCACCTTCTTCCACATGTTTGGTGGGTCTCCCAGGTGGCTTGTGGCAAACTTTAAACGAGACTTTTATGGATATCTTTGAGAAATGGCTTTCTTCTTGCCACTCTTCCATAAAGGCCAGATTAGTGCAGTGCACGACTGATTGTTGTCCTATGGACAGACTCTCCCACCTCAGCTGTAGTTATCTGCAGTTCATCCAGAGTGATCATGGGCCTCTTGGCTGCATCTCTGATCAGTCTTCTCCTTGTTTGAGATGAAAGTTTGGAGGGACGACCGGGTCTTGGTAGATTTGCAGCGGTCTGATACTCCTTCCATTTCAATATAATTGCTTGCACAGTGCTCCTTGAGATGTTTAAAGCTTGGGAAATCTTTTTGTATCCAAATCCGGCTTTAAACTTCTCCACAACAGTATCTCGGACCTGCCTGGTGTGTTCCTTTGTCTTCATGGTTCTCTCTGCGCTTTAAACAGAACCCTGAGACTATCAAAGAGCAGGTGCATTTATACGGAGACTTGATTACACACAGGTGCATTCTATTTATCATCATCATTTAGGACAACATTGGATCATTGAAAGATCCTCACTGAACTTCTGGAGTGAGTTTGCTGCACTGAAAGTAAAGGGGCCGAATAATATTGCACGCGCCACTTTTCAGTTTTTTATTTGTTAAAAAAGTTTAAATTATCCAATACATTTTGTTCCACTTCACGATTGTGTCCCACTTGTTGATTCTTGACAAAAAATTTAAATTTTATATCTTTATGTTTGAAGCCTGAAATGTGGCAAAATGTTGAAAGGTTCAAGGGGGCCGAATACTTTCGCAAGGCACTGTATTTTGAGTCCTTTACTTTTTACTGTGTACACTCACGATTGTGTGTCTTCCTCTGACTCAAACTTGATCATCAAATATGCTGATGACACCACCATCATCGGTCTCATCAGTGACAATGATGAATCCTCTTATAGAGCAGAGATCCAAAATGTGGTTCAGTGGAGTAAAACTAACAACCTCCAGTTGAACGCATCGAAAACATGTGAACTGGTCTACGACTTCATTCGCAATAGTTCTCATTTGCCTGTCGTAATCGACAACTCCCAGGTGCAGATCGTAGAGGAGTGCAGGTTTCTGGGTTTAACTCTGTCTAACGACCTGAAATGGGTTAAAAACACTGACAAGATTCTGCTCAACTTTTATCGCTGCACCATTGAGAGTTTGCTTGTTGGTTCTGTGTCTGTGTGGTTTGGAAACATCACAGATAAAGAAAAGGGAGCTTTAAACAAGGTGCTCCGCTCTGCAAAGAGGACAGGCCGCAATATTTCATTGAAAATGTACTTTGCTGCGCCTTCAGGAGGTGAAACTATACATTCTCGCAATTTACAGTAAGGCTTGGGAAATCATTGTTTACTATGGCAATGTCGAATTTCTCAACATTTTGAGATCATGAATATTATAATATATATGACTTTCACAATTACAATGAGCAACTCACAGGATAAGGATAAGTACATGCAAACCCCGTACATGTGTCCACTGAAATGCATGACTTGTACAAATGCCTGAATGTCCCGATGTTGATACAAACCTGAGATTGTGACTGTGGGAGCATGGTAGACGTCATGCTCTGCGTCATGCTGAAGTTCAGGCTCTGGGAGGAGGTGAGAGTTTGTGTGGGGCCCATGAGGTCGAACAGATCAGCTGAAGGGGTCCCAGCAGCAGCAGCGGGAGGGGCAAAGGCAGGAGTGGCCGCTGGAGCAGAGAGCACCATCCCAAACAGATCCGTCTCTCCCACATTTGCAGACTGGGCTGCGGCTGGCATCTGCCCTCCAGGGAAGGCGTTCCACTCTCCAAAGTCCCCATTACTGCAGGAGCCTGCCGCCGCTGAACCAAAGACAAAAGGACAATTTAATGTACGTTTATGCGCCATCCATTCTGTTCAATGTTTTCACTATGCACCACGTAAATTATTTCAAACAAAAACCACGCACGCAAAACAGAGCCTGTCACTGCCGTTTAGAGAAAGCAGCCGTTTTATGTGACCAGTCTAGATTTATCCAGCCCTCTCCGTGACCACCTGTGCCACACTTTAAATTTTTATGCTCCCATTGCCTGCTGTCCATCCTTTTCCCAATCTCTTTTAGCTTCCTTCACCCCCCAACAACTTCTTGCTCTGTCCCAGTCTCCTTGTCATCCATAACACAAGCTGATATGTGTCTGTTCTTGTTATGCAGAGCAGGTAGCAGGCTCCATATGGCCAGGGCTCCCTCCCAGCATCCCTCTGAATATTCTAGCAGTTACTCCAACGCAGCACAACACACAAGACTCACGCTGGCAAGTTAAAGGAAAGAGGCACGGGAAAAACTAACCTGTGCCTGTGGAGAGACTGGCAGAGGCTGTGGACGAGAAGTCTGCGAAGCCCCCGATCAAGTCTGAAAGTAGAAACCAGTGTCTGCACGTTAGCTTTGAGGTGCAGACCTGCAGGTGTCATTTTGATGTAGTTAGCATTCCTTCAGTGTCAGAGGAACAGGAGCGGGAGGGGCAGAGAAGACACCAAACATCTGCTTGGTACTCCAGCCTTCCTCTCACCGGGGACCGCTCCAAAACATCTGGTGCACTTAGCTTCTATACATCATCCCTCCCTCTGCTGCCCACCAAATATGAGGCTCAAATCATTCGGACTGACACTAAGTCCACGGCTTTGTTGGATCACAAGGGGCCTTCTGGGCTGTCATGATTTAGATTTAAAACATGCTCAACAAAGTGAATTTATAGTACTGGAACAAAAATAGTGAACAATGCAACCTTTGGATTAGATGGGGAATCTAGAACCCTCTCTTCTCCCCGAGTTAGTATTGCTTTGCTCCGAATGTTCCACTGAATGGGAACGTTCAGTGGACATTTATAATGGGTTTTCTGGTTAAGTTTTAAAAGATGCCTTGGAAACTCCCAGTAGAGTTGCAACTTTATTGCTCTAATTTGTAGAGTCACCTGCTTTGTTGCAGGTTACATATGGTCTAGATACCATTACTATACTAGCCGTTTTGAATATATGCACAATTTCTACATCCAGTGCATTATTTAAAGTCAAAACTAACCAAAATGACTGAAATTAAATAATTCCAGTATAGCCTTTAACCACTGGCTGAAAGGCATCGCTGGGGAAGAAAAATAAGCATACAAATGTTTTAGAAGTATAAATTTTTTTATAATATATATATATATATATATATATACATATATTATATACATATATATACATACACTCTTACTATTAATAGCAATTTATATAAAATATATATTATTAGGGGTGCAACGGTTTGAAAAAAATCACGGTTCGGTTCGTACCTCGGTTCAGAGGCCACGGTTCGGTTCATTTTTCGGTTCATTTTTCAAAAAAAAAGTGTTGTCTTTTTAATAAACACAGCTCATGTGGACTCGGCACCTGCTCTGACTGCCCCCCCTGACCTAGAAATGAATTAAGGGGAAGAAAATGGATGGATGGATGGATGGAATATTCCATCCATCCAATTATGTCTATTTAACATAATTAATGAAAAACAACACAAAGTGCAACATAAGAAGGCACTTTATGAGGATATTTACTCTCATATATTACACCACCTTCCTGATTCGAGGAGGCGCTCCATTCTGGGCCCAGCCTCATTCACTGCATTTATTTAATTTTTGGCATTATCAGTTGTGACTGGGATATTAGTACTGGGCCTTTGTCTTCCATTCCTCCGCTGCTTGTGTCAGTACCTGCGCTGTGTGACAGTGTGACTGTCGTAGAGGGGGCGTGTCTGCAGCGCCAGACTTTTCATCTCCCAGTCTGCGGTGATGAAGTGAGCGGTTCCGCTCATGGATCTATTATAGGTTCCGCGGGACGTCCAAGCGTCAGTCGTGAGCTGAGCTGAGGATGCGCGGGAGAGTTGACTTTAGCCCGGTCTGACTGTGCATAAAGGAGCTGCTTAAATGCCGCGACAATAAGCGGTCGTTGAGACGCTTTTTTCACTCATGTCTTTCTTGTGCCACAGTGCTTACACATCGTGACAGTTTTGTCGAATATTAATTATCAGTGTAGTTACAGTGAAGCCAAAATGCTCTCATACTGGGGATTTAAATGACGCGGGGCTTTCAAGCATCTCCGTTCCTCCGCTCGCAATGACCGCGCTGTGTGTGGACTGAACAACGTGCGCACAACTTTTTTTTCATAAATCAAACCGCGGATAACGTCTGTACCGAACCGAAGACGTTGAACCGAACGGATCACGGATCAGTGATGAACCGTTGCACCTCTATATATTATACATATTTATTACACTGCTCCTCACAGCAGCAGAAGAACGCTCCATTGATTTGAATGCAATTTCAAAATGTTCTACCGGTCATTATTTCTTGAAAACGGACCTCTCAAAACAATAATGGCCGCTGCCCATGGCAACACACCCTCTGCTTATAATTCAGATGTGTAGATTACTCTGCAAGTAGTTCCGGCCACTCCGGAGCTAGCCACGCTCAATAAACGCAAATACCAATCAATCAACACATTTAAATGTTAATCAGATAATACATTAGACATATAGATTCTTAATACACATGCACAGAGGTTTTCAGAATTTTCTGTTCCGGGTTTTTTGCTATCGCTTTTTCTCACATTAAAGCAGTATTTTTGTCATGAAAACCTGAAGTAGATTCCGGGACATTTTAGGAACATTTGCAGAGGATCAAATTATGGATTTAGGTTAAGTTTATGTTTGGGTCACTCACCGCTGATGTTCAGAATTCTTTGTTCAGTTTTCTTGCAGTTCGAGAGAGTTCTAGTTTAAAAAGGTGCTAGCCTAACTGTTACTCGCATAGCCACGGGAAAGCCTTTGGGAACGATTTTATTTTCTGTCATTAAATAAACCTTCGCCCTGTCGGTACTTATTTTCCAATAATGACCTACGCAATATACATTATCCCTTACGTATACACACACAAAAAGGGTAAAATACGCCTTTTTTAACGGTTTGATGGGTGAACATGCAATTCAAAACAGGGTTATGCCGTGACCATGAGGTGGCTGAGTGGATAGCACTCTCGCTTCTCAGCAAGAAGGTCCTGGGTTTGAATCCCGGTCGGAACAGGGCCTTTCTGAGTGGAATTTGCGTGTTCTCCCCATGTCTACGTAGGTTTCCTCTGGGTGCTAAAAACATGTACAATAGGTCTGGCATGCACCTCCTGTATGGCAACCTCGCTCCCATCTCTGTGTGGAGTGAGAGGACAAAATGCCCACAATTGTAAACCGCTTTGTGACTCTGGTCTGTGAAAGGCAGTTTATAAATAAAGATTACTTACTTACTACTCTTTTTCTTTAATAAAACAATATAGAATGACACGGCTCAATGAACCCAGATCGCAACAGATGGTTACTTGATAACTACTCTACATCTTGCATACCTGTGGCAGCTGGCTGGTTCGGTGCTGGGTCAACCATTAGTAGATCTGCAAGACCGGTGCTGGAGGACTGAGGAGCTGTGGGTTGGGCCTAGAGACATGGGAGGACTTAAGATGATCAAAATCTAAATCACAAAGTACTTTTGATTATGTGAATACCTGCTTGGGGGTTGTCTCTGGAGTCTTGTCACCCAAATAGTTAGCGGCAGCACCGAGGTCCACCTTTTTAGATGGGGTGCTGCCTTTCTTCCGTGTCGCTGTAGTTTCTGTGGCCTGCACAATATGGACACTTTTTGTGGTAACCGTTTCTTCTTCATCTTTAAAGTCTCTTGCCGACTGTCCATTATGAGATCGCCTCCTGTCCTCCTCGTGATCACTGAGAAAATAAACAGCTTAAACTCAATAGAACAAAAAACAAGGCAAAGCCAGACTATTGTTTCAAGACAATCCTCACACAATATCTGAAGCGCTATAATACATTCGATTCTTGAACTTTTCAAAATACCAGTCAGTCAAATTAATTTTAAACTAAAAAGAAACCAAAAGAAATGAAAATTTGAAGTAAATTGATAAGAATAAACTGAATTTCATTAATGTTTCTCCACCAGGGGCAATGTAATTGGTTAGGTTAGTTTGTGAGTCATTTATCAAAAAGACTCAAAAATGTATTCCCCAGATTTGTAAAAATAAATAAATCTTTGGTGTGTTCACCATAAAGTGTCAATTCTATTATCTGGTCTAGGTCATAACTCAACAACTAAAATTACTATCATAGATTAGAAAAAAGGTTTCAAACACAGACATAAAGAGATAGTGTGGATAAAATCTAAAGAAAAGATGACAAACAAGACACATTTTTGGCGAGATTTTAAAAGACCAGATCAGCCTCTGATTTGATCTTTCTACTGTGACTCCAGTTACAGAGTCACAGTGATGCCTTCTGTCAAAGGCATCACGTCCAGGACACAGGTAAACGTAGCCTCTATAGAAAATTTGACTAATCTGGGCTAAAGCAGACTCGGTCAGGGCACAAAAGAGAGAGTGCCGGAGGGCCGAGCGGAAGTGGCGCAAGTCCAACCTCCAGGTTGATTACGAGATCTTCAAAGATAAGTTGTGCGAGTTTAACCAGGTGCTACGTAGTACGAGAGAAAGGTATTTTTCTGAAATGATTGAAGGCTGCAGCAACAATCTGCGTGTTCTGTTTTCAACAGTTAATAGATTAACAAACCCCCCTGTTCAGATGCCATTAGAGCTAACTTCCAAACGTAAATGTAATGAGTTTGCACATTTTTTCAATGACAAGGTTCAAGGCATCAAAAACGCCATTGTCTCCAATCCACAGATAACCATCCAACAGCCTAAAAGGCTCTTTGAGCTAACTTACTTTGCACCTGTAAATGATCAAACTGTCCAAGAGATAATCTCCAGTCTGAGCGCCTCCACATGCAGCCTGGATGTACTACCCACTAGATTTCTAAAGTCTGTTCTGAGCAGTCTGTTACCTTCACTCACACAGATAGTAAACATGTCCCTTCATTCTGGAATATTCCCAAAGGCCCTGAAAACTGCAGTCATCAGGCCCCTGCTTAAAAAGAGCAGTCTGGATGCTACGGTACTTAACAACTACCGTTCCATCTCAAATCTGCCATTTATGGGGAAAGTCCTTGAAAAAGTTGTCTACCAACAGCTAAATAGATTTCTTATAATCAACAACTCATTTGATATGTTTCAGTCCGGCTTTAGACCCCACCACAGCACTGAGACTGCTCTCGTTAAGGTTACAAACGATATCCGGCTGAACACTGACGCAGGCAAAGTCTCAATCTTAATCTTGTTAGATCTAAGTGCTGCCTTTGACACCGTCGACCATGAGATCCTCTTACAGAGACTAGAGGACTGGGTTGGCGTCGCTGGCACCGCCCTAAGTTGGTTTAGGTCTTACCTTGAAGACAGGAAGTACTTTGTGGAGATTGGAAACTGTGTCTCAGAACATATGGCCCTGACCTGTGGAGTACCACAGGGGTCGATCCTGGGACCTCTTCTGTTCAATCTCTACATGCTGCCGTTAGGTCAGTTAATACGCAGAAACGAAGTTTCCTATCATAACTATGCAGACGACACTCAGATCTATGTCTCACTGACTGCAGGAGAACATGGACCAGTGGACTCACTCCTTCACTGTATCCAACAGATCAGTGAGTGGATGCAAAACAACTTCCTTCAGCTAAACGCAGACAAAACTGAAATGATTGTCTTTGGTCCCCAGAAACAAAGAGAGAGCGTCATCTGTCATCTACAGTCTCTCTCCCTAAAACCTTCAAACAAGGTCAGAAATCTAGGGGTAATACTGGACTCAGACTTAAATTTTAATAGCCACATCAAATCAGTAACATCAGCAGCTTTTTACCATCTAAAAAACATTGCCAGGATCAAAAACATAGTGTCTAAAGCAGACTTGGAGATTCTTATCCATGCATTTGTCTCCAGTAGGTTAGAATACTGCAATGGCCTGCTCACAGGTCTGTCCAAACAGGCTGTAAAACAGCTGCAGTACATTCAAAATGCAGCAGCTCGAGTCCTGACTAGAACCAGGAAGTACGACCATATTAGTCCGGTCCTCAGGTCTCTGCACTGGCTTCCTGTGGCTCAGAGAATAGACTTTAAAACAGCTCTGCTTGTGTACAAGTCTCTCCATGGCCTCGCACCAAAATATATTAGTGACATGTTAGTCCCATATGAACCAGCCCGGAGCACAGGGACTGGACTCCTGTTAGTGCCCAGAGTCAGAACTAAACATGGGGAGGCTGCTTTTCAGATTCATGCTGCTAAAATCTGGAACATTCTTCCTGAAGATGTGAGACAGGCCTCCTCTCTGACAATGTTTAAAACCAGGTTAAAAACGGTGCTGTTTAGCTGTGCATACAACTGAGGGATTTTATATTTTTATCTTTTTTAATGTTCTGTGATTATTTATGATTTTAATGCTATCTTGTTCAGCACTTTGAGTTGCCTTGTGTATGAATTGTGCTATACAAATAAACTTGCCTTGCCTTGCCTAATGTATAAAACGGTTATATTCGAGTAACTACTAATGGACGAAAGAGGTATTTGGCTAAATGAAAAAAATAATATATCTTCTGATTATTGAAATCTAATTTTTGGCCTTACAGTGCCTTGCGAAAGTATTTAGCCCCCTTGAACCTTTCAACATGTCAGGCTTCAAACATAAAGATATAAAAATAAAAATATTTGTCAAGAATCAACAACAAGTGGGACACAATCGTGAAGTGGGACACAATCGTGAAGTGGAACAAATTTATTGGATAATTTAAACTCTAACAAATAAAAAAACTGAAAAGTGGGGCATGCAATATTATTCGGCCCCCTTGCGCTAATACTTTGTAGGGCCACCTTTTGCTGCAATTACAGCTGCAAGTCGCTTGGGGTATGTCTCTATCGGTTTTGCACATCAAGAGACGGGAATTCTTGCCGATTCTTTCTTGCAAAACAGCTCGAGCTCAGTGAGGTTTTATGGAGAGCGTTTGTGAACAGCAGTCTTCAGCTCTTTCCACAGATTCTCGATTGGATTCAGGTCTGGACTTTGACTTGGCCATTCTAACACCTAGATACGTCTATTTGTGAACCATTCCATTGTAGATTTGGCTTTATGTTTTGGATCATTGTCCTGTTGGAAGATAAATCTCCGTCCCAGTCTCAGGTCTTTTGCAGACTCCAACAGGTTTTCTTCCAGAATGGTCCTGTATTTGGCTCCATCCATCTTCCCATCAATTTTAGCCGTCTTCCCTGTCCCTGCTGAAGAAAAGCAGGCCCAAACCATGATGCTGCCACTACCATGTTTGACAGTGGGGATGGTGTGTTCAGGGTGATGAGCTGTGTTGCTTTTACGCCAAACATATCGTTTTGCATTGTGGCCCAAAAGTTCGAGTTTGGTTTCATCTGACCAGAGCACCTTCTTCCACATGTTTGGTGTGTCTCCCAGGTGGCTTGTGGCAAACTTTAAACAAGGCTTTTTATGGATATCTTTGAGAAATGGCTTTCTTCTTGCCACTCTTTCATAAAGGCCAGATTTGTGCAGTGCACGACTGATTGTTGTCCTATGGACAGACTCTCCCACCTCAGCTGTAGTTATCTGCAGTTCATCCAGAGTGATCATGGGCCTCTTGGCTGCATCTCTGATCAGTCTTCTCCTTGTTTGAGATGAAAGTTTTGAGGGACGGCCAGGTCTTGGTAGATTTGCAGTGGTCTGATATTCCTTCCATTTCAATATAATTGCTTGCACAGTGCTCCTTGAGATGTTTAAAGCTTGGGAAATCTTTTTGTATCTAAATCCGCCTTTAAACTTCTCCACAACAGTATCTCGGACCTGCCTGGTGTGTTCCTTTGTCTTCATGGTTCTCTCTGCGCTTTAAACAGAACCCTGAGACTATCAAAGAGCAGGTGCATTTATACGGAAACTTGATAACACACAGGTGCATTCTGTTTATCATCATCAGTCATTTAGGACAACATTGGATCATTCAAAGATCCTCACTGAACTTCTGGAGTGAGTTTGCTGCACTGAAAGTAAAGGGGCCGAATAATATTGCACGCCCCACTTTTCAGTTTTTTATTTGTTAAAAAAGTTTAAATTATCCAATAATCGTGAAGTGGAACGAAATGTATGTCCCACTTGTTGATTCATGACAAAATTACAATTTTATATCTTTATGTTTGAAGCTTGAAATGTGGCGACATTTTGAAAGGTTCAAGGGGGCCGAATAATTTCGCAAGGCACTGTATGTCACACTTTTGTACCCTTTAGTATGAACAAATAAACATAAATCATAAGATAAATCAGCACAAAAATGATATGTAACTTGTCCGAACATTCTAATTGTTCGAGTATGCCAGTATATTGTACACAGATTACCTGAATCGGTCTGGAGAGTCGTCCCTGTCCTTCTTTCTGAATGTATTGATAGTGTCGTTGATGGTGCTGCCGATCTTGTCACTGATCTCTCCAATTTTGTCGCTAAATGGAAACTGTGCTTTATTGTTGTCAAAGTCATCGTCCCATTTGCCCTTTTTGTCGTTGAAGTCATACCGGTCCCCAGCTGCAAACATGAAAAAAAGTGATATTCTGTGGCAGCCTTTTGAATCCAAATTACTGTCTGAGGCGTCATCATAGTAACACACAACAATGAGCACAAACTGGTAACTTACTACTATTTCCAGACTTTTAAATCATTATTTTTTTCCAATTCTTTGAACCCTGCGGCTTATATAGCGATGCGCCTAATATGCATATTTTTATTGTGGTAGAGTTGTCAGAGCAGAGTTTTTAGACTTTTTATTTTGACTCTAAAAGATCATCTTTTGTTTAACAGCTTAACTATACCTAGTCATTATATCATGTTGTAACCAGTTATCTGCTACATTACAACCAAACCCGCTTGTATTCAAGTGCCAACAATTGGACAACATTGATTTTCTTTTAAAATGTAGATGGTGTTCCTTATATACAGGTGCGCTTTATAGTCCAGAACGTACGGAAATGTTTGCATTCAAATTCTGGATTCCTTGTTAAATATAATATTTTGCTTTGTCTCCCAAAAAGGAAGCATGCTTTTTTCAAACATGTTATTGAGAGTTCACAATATATATGAGCTTGTGAATGGTAACTGTGAGACTCATGGCAATGCTGTTGTATGGTTTAAACAGTGCTGCCACTACCTAAAAAATTGCGTTGTGATTTCCCTCTCGGTGTCGCTCCTGGAGTTAACCCATTGTCCTTGTATGTGCTACACAAATATGTGTTTATGTTCATGAGTACCTACCGTTACTTCTGTAGCCCATGCTATCCGATGATACCCCCACGTATTTGTCTCGATTCTTCTTGGCCTTTTTTCTTTCTTCTCTGAGCCGGTCATCGTCCTGAATGAACACCACCAACTCCTTCACCTTGTGCCGCACGTTTGTACCTTGGTCCTTGCCATTTTCATCTATGAAAACATAAAATAAGTTTTCTATTACTCCATTGTGAATTAACAGGGAATTAACAACTATATCTACTATGGATAAATCAATGAAAGGACCAGGTCTGGAAAAGTTAAGCGACTGAAACTTCAATCCCATGTTTTAAAAAGGTCTTACCTACAAAATGGTAGCTCTCTAAAGACCTCAAATCAAATAAATGTTCTCTGGCGCTGGTCACAACCCTCTCGGAGCCGTTTCTGATCAGATGTGAGAGCAGCAACAAGGACTTGGGGTGGGAGGTGGACAATTTGTTAGATATCTTATCATTTGAGCTTCTTAAAATTGAGCTAATCAGTGGACTGACCTTGTAGACCCTTCTCCAATTCTTTCTGTTTTCCTTGAGCATTCTTGTCCACAGCATGCCCATTACTTCCTGGTAATGCTCATACATAAAGGTTGCACTATAATGGAAGAAATATTGAATTTATGTTAGAAAATATTTATGTACTTAAGCATAGTACAATAAATTATCAATAGAACATGGGTGCTATTTGGCATTGAATACAAGCATACCAGGTAAAGGACCTAATCAAATATTTAACACAAGTTTTATGTCTAACAACTGCATAAATGCACTGGATGTTTAATATTTAGAAGACCTTGCAGCCTCTCCGATTCTTACCGGGAGATTTCAGTCATGAGCTGCCCCGATGGTCCCCAGGCGTCGTCGTTGGTGGCTTCTCTGACTTTAGACTCTATTTCAGTGTAGTTCATCACCATGTTGGTTCTGCAGAAAGAAAAAAAAAAACAGGACAAATGCATAAATGATAGATGCATACAGTATTTATAAGTATCAATGCTAACAGAGCATTCTCCTAATTCAAATGATTTATTGCCACCACGCCCCTCTCTCAGGTCCAGTTGCGTCATTTACAGTGAAGAATAGCCATTATAACAAATGGGAGTGCTTTGCGTACTTTCACCTGTTCAAAAGAATGAATTAACATTAAGGGTTAGCTTTGTAAAATCATTGATAAACCATTCACAAAAAACATTAACATGATAACAACCACTAACAAACACAAGAACAAGCGTACAATTTCCCAGTTCTCCTTGACGTAAATAAGGATTAGCAACAATATTTCTAAACAAAAAACATTGCAATTCTATAATTCTATGTGATATTGTGTACTTGTGCCAAGATAAGTATTATACCATGATAAATGTAAAAAACCTGAATGTACTATTGGTGTCCCATTCTGACACTGGACTTGCACCTACTTGCTTACCAGGTTTACACATACAGGTGGTATATGTGAAATGTAAGCAGTGGTTAATACCATCTGACAAAGCTCTAACAAAAGTATAGCTGTAGCAGTTGTCCTGTGTGAGAATGCCACATCAGCAACACAGGCCTGAGAGAGCTGTGATTTGCTGCTTAAGAAAACACCCTGTTTGTGGTTATGAAGACATGCTGTAGTATTACTGTTTTGGGCGTCAAGGTTTAGTCAACAAGATATTTGACATAACAGGAACCTGGAGGACGATGTTTGAACATATGTAAACCAAATATAATGCATAATCTTGCTCGGATTTTGTGAATAACCGTTTTGTCATATCACCAAGCCACAAACAAAACAGCCATCCTTACACTAAGGATAAGTAAGTAAGTAGTAATAATCTTTATTTATATACCGCCTTTTCACTGCACATCGGAGTCTCAAAGCGGTTTACAACTGTGATTTTTGGGGTGGGGGTGCCAATACAGGAGGCACATGCCAGACCTACAGTATTGTACATATTTTTAGTGGTAGGGGAAACCGGAGCACCCGGAGGAAACCTACGCAGACACGGGGAGAACATGCAAACTCCACTCAGAAAGGCCCTGGTCCAACCAGGACCTTCTTGCTGAGAGGCGAGAGTGCTATCCACTCAGCCACTGTGCCGCCCAATAGCAAACAATTATTGGAAAAGTGGACTAATTCACCAGATATTTCTAAAAGGAACAATTGATAAGAAAGATTAATCTCGTCTTTCTTCCTCATGAAGCTAATATTGCCAATTCACAATGTTACAATAGTGATATTTTATTGGTGTTAGTAGTGATCTTTGCAGTTGCACTCAAGTTAAAATGCACATAAGATCTGTCATCCTGCAGTTCAAATGACTCCAAATAACTGTAAATAGAGCATGACTTTTTTTTCTTTCTTTCATTAGTCAGTGCAAGTATTCAGACTTCAGAGTGATCATATCCGTTAGCTACAACAGCCTAAATTTTTGAGATAAACGACACCACAAGATGATATTTTGTGAACAGAGTGTCTTATCTCTTCTCTGGGGTTGTGGTGCATGTCCTAGATATGAGACGAATAAAAGGAAGTTGTAGTTCTAGTTACACTGACAGATCCTCATGGCCTTCACTCACCCAAACTGCTTTATGAATAATCCATTGGCACATTTTGGCAATGCTCCTCATATACTTTAATATATTTAAGATGCATATAATATTTGTATGCATTTAAAACTAAAATACTTTTCTGTCAGAGAAAAAAAAAGAACCAGATTTTCAAACAGGAAAAGAGTCATTGCGACTGAATACAATGTATTATGCAATTGCAAAAGAGAGGTACTTTTTTCTAAAGAACCTTGTTTTGAGTGTACATTAACAAAAAAGTACATTTTACAGATTATGTTACAAAAAAAAATGTTTTAACTGTACTAAAGGCAATCACAGCGTGTTCTTATGCAAGCACTCGATATTTCAGGGGTCACACTCCAGGGAGACCGTTGTATTGGGCCAGAAGAATGCATGCTTGGATGGACTTAAAACAGCCCATTGTCCAACCAAGTTGCTATTAAACTTTTGCAGAGGAAAAACAACCTCCCGACAGATCAAGACACAAGTGAAGTAAACCAGAGTAAAGACCGACAATAGACATACAATCTGCAAGGTGTAATCTTACAGGTAGTGTCTACACAACACACCAAATCCAGCATAGCCTTCACTTCAGGCGCCAGAGTTTTTTTTCTTCAGAAATGTTATGTGAATCAGACTAAAAGGTGAAGCCCTGCCACTTTATACATTATATAAAGGGAAGTCTGCACAAAAATAAACAGAAATTATTAAAAGATTTTTTTTATTATGCTCCTGACATTTGGCTCTTGAATGTCATTTTCAGGAGCTCATCTTGCAATTCTGCATTGTTTTACCTCAAGGTTAAGTGGGGTAAAACAACGTAAAGAATCTTAAAAGTTGACTTCCACACATTATATTATATTATGTTTCTACTTCACAATCAGTTAATCACATTAGTGTTTCATTTACAAAATAGTTGGAAACATACACTATAACCGCAAGCAGGGTTGCCTTTCAGCTTTGTCAAGTGGCAACATCTACAGTCTCCATTGAGAAAGATAAAAAAGTTTAAAATAACACTATGGAACCCCCCAAGGCAAAGAACACTCCTGTATACACAGGTTATAAATGCCTGGCTTCATTAGGGATAAATCAGGTCAGTTAGTTGATCACAAGTAATGAATTATTGTATCATTGTCATCTAAAAACAACTAATCCATTATTAAATGTATAATGATAGTCTGAAGAAATGCAAAAGTACCACAATTATCTTTCAATGGCTCTAGTTGGTTCGAAACATGCTTATCATTCAAAAGATTATTAGTTTACGCTTTACTTCCTTTCATATTGTAAAATCAGCAGGAAATGTCAATGAGAATAACATGATCGAATATGTCTGCACACTGGAACTTTCTTCAACTTACGTAAAAATACCAATAATTAACATTTTTAAGCAGCAATTTTCTGTATGTTGCAATACTGTATTATCTATTCATTGACAGTCTGCCACTATACGTTTATATACAGTCTATGGTTTCAACATAAAATGCTTAAACAAACCCAACTATGTATATTAAAGTTGTGAGTACCGGATTGTTTGTTTCAAGAATACATTTGTTTTCACTTATAGAAAGTAGTATTTGCAAATTCCTAATCCAAATCAAGAAAAAAGGCTTTAACCATCTTCATAGATGTTGTTTCCCAAAGGGATAAAGATAGACATTTTATCTTTTACATACTGAAAGCGGATTGCTGGGTATTGGCTGATAAACTTTTTCAGTGAAAAGGGGACTATCTAAAAATGTGACAGAGGCCACACAATGTGAAAACTAGTTACAGAACCACACTGTTTTGAAAAATATGGATTCTATAATATGGTTTTAAGGTACTCCGGCTTTAAGTTTAATGAGCGTGTTTGGGGAATGGGAGATTAGTATTTCTATAATCACTGTCTTTGCAAACGCTGTTGCGACAGTTGTGGGTGAGAAATTTGATTCTTTTGAAAAATGATTCACAAGAGCCTGAGCTTCAGTAATCTTGTTTCTTTGCTTTATTAAAATCTCAACAATATGTTTACTACCCCAAATATTACCATGTTTGTCTGACACTGTGGTCAGTAACGTAAATGAGCTGTCAAACTAGCTTAGCCGGCTAACCCAGCCAGCTAACTCAGAGCTTGAACATAGCTAGCTAATTAGCTTGTTAGCTACGGGGTGGGTTAGCAGGCGTCCAGCTGTACAAATAGACTTAACATTAACGTAACAATACCCCTGACATGTAGAGCAAACAAATGGGCTGTATAATAGAGTGTTATGCCCAGTTTAGTCGCAATCTATGGGTAAATAGTGTTTGTTTTGGCCAGTCGCAAACAAGCTAGCAAACTTGTACAGTGCGTGACGTCAAAGTTTGGGTACGTGTCTCTTTTAAAGCAGTCCAGGCGAAAAGAGATTAACTTTTTTAACAAAACAACACGTCGATAGACTTACGCTTTGTCAACCAGCTCCCGGACCTTCCACATATTCAACATGTTGGCTGCCGTAATAAAGGCTCTTTCCTCCTCCGCTGTGAAACCCTCTGCCCCGCGTACGGACCGAAACTAATGCCTGCACACAGAAAGAGTAAACTCCTAATGCTCATTCACCTCTGTACAGGAGAAGACAGGAGGCGCAACTCACCCACATGAACGAGGCGGAAATGGGACGTTGGCAGATCTACTTAAAGCTGCCCCAGGGTATAATCGTGTATAATGTAACTTTTAATTAGTATTACAAGCGAAACAAAAGCTGTTAATGTTATTGTGTAATTGTGTAATAAATTGTTTGGCTGGTACGTGCTATGCTAGTCCATAGACGCACGTGCCAGTCATACACATACACAATAAGGTCATACAAGATAGCTTTTATGATACATAAAATAGAAAGATAGTAGCTAGATAGCTAGAAAATAGCTAGATAACTTGGTTGGGGTTTTTGTTCTCTAAAACAGACATAGGAGAGGATATCTCTAGTTTTAGATATGCCCAAGGGAAAAATCACCATAGACTTTAAAATAAACATTACCATTCAACTAGGGGTGTGACAATGGAGAATCGAATCGCGGGAGAAAGTATTGCGATACTTTCTCCCGCGATTCGATTATCGATATGCATTTGCGAAGTATCAATATCGATTTTTTATTTTTTTTCAACTTTTTATTTTTTTTTGAATTGGTATCAATACTTAATATATGGCTACATTACGCACCTCCATTATATTTATCATGATATAAAGAGTATTTTTTTATTTTATTTATGCCATAAATTGGCATATTGTATATTTCTGACCAATATATCAATAATCGTCATATCGTGATAAAATCGTTATCGTAATATCGTTATCGTGATATTATTGTTATTGTGAGCTTTGTATCGTGTATCGTATCGTATCGTGAGGTACCCTTAGGTTCCCACCCCTACATTCAACATTACCTTAACAACATCACTATTTAAAATAATATTACAACTATTATTAGTATATATTAATAGTTTATCTTATTTTATCGTATTAATATTGCCACGATTATAATTATTGTTATTATTATTATTATTATTATTTTCACCATTATTATCATTAGATGTCTTTATCTGAAAATGAACACTTTATCAATGGACACAATGATATAAGGTAAAATAAACATTTTAGTGTTGCCATGCACAACACTGAACAGTAGGAATAGCGTAAAAAAGAGCACTTAAACCAGACTAACAGAAACCAGTTTAATAACTATAATAACTATAGAGTAACTCAAATCTATATGCTTCAAAATCTTGTTATAAGACTGCTTACACTGAGGGAAAAAATCCCTGTTAAAATACACTTTGACAATGAGTATACACTATGCATTTAGCAGCAGTGAAAAGTACAGTGACTTGTTAGTGATGGACATACTGTGCAGAGTCAGCAGTGTTCGTGGTTCGTTGTACAGTGTGACTGCAGCAGTTTGTCATGGTCCAGTATTGAGCCCTCCTGTCCCCCCACCTGCTGTACCTCTGAAAAGACTAAAATACTTGGATTTTTCAAAGCCCTCCTCTCAGGTCTTCCACTTAAATTAATCCAGTGGCTTTGGAGAAAAAGAAATTCTGTGGCTCACGTTTTGATTTGGAATAGAAAATAACAATAATATCATATTCCACACATATTGAATGGCCCCTATCTTGATGTAGGGCTGAAACAACTAATCGATTAATCGACGACTAATCGATTATTGAAATAGTCGACAACTATTTTAGTAATCGATTAATCGTTTTCTGGTTCACACGGACTCAAACCGAGCAAAAATGACATGAAAATGTAGTATTTTTGATTAAAACCGACTTTGTTTTTATAATTTCATGAATATCTGTCTCATTCAATCAGATAGCAGAATTAGCACGAAGAGCCTGTTACAAACATTTACTTTAAGTTTACGCCATCAATACGTCCTCGAGTGTTGCCACTTTAGCTTTTTGTGATGAAAAAATAATTTTTTTCTACACAATTCACAGCCAAGCGATTACTCGATTAATCGTAAAAATAATCGATAGATTAATCGATTATAAAATAATCGTTAGTTGCAGCTCTATCTTGATGGTCTCCAAATTCTGACTTGGATTGACTTTAAAAAATGTATGCTTTTGTATTGTATACAGAATGATGAAACCACAGAGATAATACTCAGGAGTGGCCCCCACACTTCAAAAGTCCTCAACCTCTGTAGCAGGTAGGGCTCTGGCCCTACCTACCTCCTCAACAGAGCATCAGTGTGTCAGGCCAGCCTAGTTTCACGCAAACACATACGTACCTGTTTGAGATTCTCCCCTGGATGTTCACCTGTGTGTACCTGTCACTTACAAAACCCAATTGTACCTGGCTGGACTGTGCCATAGTTTGGAATTTACTGTAACTTATCTTGCATTTTGTTCAATGACATATATTCTCACTTGTGATCAGCACCTTTACCCGGTGATGTTGCTTCACGTTCTGATACATTTACTATGGACAATCGCTGCAAAGCAATCTCCACAGAAACAACCAGATGGATCAGACCATAGTTATATAATAAAGTTATAATTTTGAATTTGAAATAATCTCACCAACTTTTTAAAGTGATGAAATCAGCCTTTTTCATTTTATTTTTGAATCCTCAACTTTCTTTTGCAGGCCCATCCTATATGCAGCAGGTCAGTGTCCTCCATGCTCTCAGCTCCTGCTCATCTGGCATTCAGGCATGCTACAATGACCCAGTGATCCTGTGTGACAGGCCAGGCTGGGCCCTGGCTGTTTATGTCAATCCAAATCAATCACCTCTGCTGCTGGACGACAACGTCATCAACGCGCAGAAAGGTCACGCGGTGTACTCAAGCCAAGCCTGATGCAGAGAGCGCCGAGGTCACGGTAACAAGTGCACACTCTTTGCAGACTTGCCACTCTTATTTTACAGGAGGGCACACTGGGATTTACTTCCTCCAGGATGGCGTGATTGTCTATTTTATGCTCAAAAGAATGATTTGACCGAAGTTTATCTGCCCTCTTTTCCGCAACTCTCCTGTGACTTGGATGATACAAAAAGTATTCCGGCTCTTTGTCATATTGATTGATAATTCCAGTGGGTAAATAAGTCCTCGGATGGGCCACATGTCTCTGTTCTCTAATGATACGTGTAAGTATGGCCCACTGCTTATACTTCGGTAGGGGAGCCGAACAAAACAACACAATAGCCAAAATACAAGCCATTTGAGAAAAAAACAACAAGAAACAGCACTTAACCGCCCAGAATGCAGGGCACCCGAGGGAGCAACCTCAATTACTGTTACACGTCCGAAGAGGAGAACTCTAGGAGAAGTGATTGCTGGGATGGAAATGGCTGCATGTGTGTTAGTGCATGTGTGTGTGAATGGGAAAAAACAGGGTGGAAAGGCACTCAGTAAAAAGATCTTTCAGAAACACTTTGCCTCAGTGACGTTGATGCTAGCTGTTGATTGACATGCACTTCTCGACAGAAACCAGAGCTATCAACCTATCTGCCACGCATTAGGAATGGCACAGTCCTAAGGGAGGGGCCTAAGTGGTAAATGATGTTGCTCAAGACACTCTCTGTCAACAATATGTGCGTTTTTGTGAGTGTGCCACTGCTGAGGACGGCAAAGTATTCAATCACAGCTCTGATTGAAAATATCTGCTCTCCTCACACTACACAATTCTTTACTGAAATGGTCAATTTTTGCATTTATGTTTGTATGAGGCTATTGACATAAACACTATTTGTATTACTGTGATAAATTGTAGCATTTCCCAGTGGTGAACAGGGTTTTTCCCAGTGGTTCCCCGACCAAACACATATTTCACAAGTTGAATCAGACATGTCAATAATCAATTTCCTTTTATTATTTTATTATTTGTTTCATTTTTTTTATTTGAGGACATTGCATTTTAGAGGACAACCTAACCGTTCTATTGGATATAGTCACCCATGTGCATTACAATGTCCTCATTTTCAGGCAAAAGTTCTTTGAAATGTTCACCCCAAAAGTTCAGTCATCTCTCCATGTATCCACAGTTAAAGACACATCATTATTAAACTGTGATATTTCAACCCTATATAACAGACTACACTAAGGAAACTTTTGACACATAATTTGGCAAATATGGGAATTAATTACTTCTGTGATCTTTTGGTGAATAAAAATTGCGTAACAAGAGATTGTTCTAGAGAGAATAGGCCTATGCATGTGTTTTTGTAACATTTCAACATGAATGAGATCAAAATTAACTACTGTTTGTACAATTTATTACACTTTTTATTAGCTCTTTAGCTAATGATTATTTTGATAATCGATTAATCTAGCAATTATTATTTCAGGTAATTAAGTAGTTGTTTAGAAAATAATTCCAAATGTTATTTTAAGATTATAAAGCCGCTCAAGGAAACCTTTTGAGAACAAATTTATCATTAAAAATTATACATTTACAGTTCTGATATATGTAATTCCCTTCTCTATTTAGGTATTAAAATCACATCTCACCGCACATATATGTTTTTAGGCTGTTTGTAGAGAATGATTAATGAATCACAAAAATAGTTAATTATAATAAAATGATACATTTTATTTCTTAGCTGCCTTTCAAAACTCTCAAGGTCACATACAAGTAAAACATTCATTTAAGAACAGTTGTCAATTATTAAAAAAGATAAAAAATGTTTTTTGCATATAATTTCCTGAGACCTTCTTTATAAAGGCAGGTCTAATACACATCTTAAGAAACAACATATTGACAGTAAGCTTGAATCAAGAATCCTCACTAGGGGGCAGTGTGACTACAGAGGTCTGCAGCTCAGTGGACTTTTGACAGTTTGTGTCAGGTTCAGGGCTGCATGTTTACAGGGATGAAGTTCCCATGACAAATGTGGTCAAAAGATCTCCACATGGGACCAAGTCCAGTGTTTCCAGAAAGACTTCCTTTTAAACTGTGGTATTATTCTTTTCCCCCTCTCACATGTGTTTCCAATCTGCCTTACTAATGCACATTGGTTTTTGGAATCGTCTTCTAGTTTTAGTGTCTACAGAATAACAAAAAAAGTGTTCTTTGTTTTGGATATGAACTATGAATGAACAAAGCCAGCTCTCGACATGCCTGTGTACTTGTATTGGTACATTTGTGGATTTCTGGAGTCACTTGGAGGCCCCTTTCTTTCCTCTTGTCAGTGCAAGAGCGTCAGCGCTGTTAAACTTCAGGCTGTTATTGTTGGCACTGGTGCAGCTCCGGTGAGATCTTTAGTCCTTTTCCCAAGCGATATAACCCGCACACAAAACACAGTATCTGACCCTGTCTCCCTGACACAGGGCAGGTCCGCTGGCCGCATTGAAGTGTGTGAATGGAAGAACTATCAAATGTGTGTGCGTGTGCACATCTGTGGACCCTCATATTTTGCTGTAAAGAAACTGGATTCGATCCCCTTCGTGAAACTTTTTAGGCAAAACAATAAAATAAAATATTACTGTTTTCAATACAAACAAATCATACAGAATGAATCATACAAATTATGTACCTCCTCAAGAAAGCGGCACAATATTGCTTTAAATATCCTGGTCAGATAAATGTCATAATCCACAGTAGTTTGTAGTAAGCATGTTGAATAAATCAAATGTTTATTTATTTTTCATTGATCCCTGTCCTTTCTTTGTCCATATCACATAGCGTACATGTTCAGTGCCTACACACATAATCCTCTGTATAAATAAAAGAACGAGGCCACTTGGTTCAAAGCTGCAGATATGGCCCACTGTGATCTGAAACCACACTCACAGATGTTCCTAATGCCGTGAAAGTAGCATTCGCATTCCTGCGGATAACCACTCTGTTTGTTTTCCTCTCTAAACTGCACTCAAATGCCACTTTTGCTGGTGAGAAAAAAGAATTGTACAAAAGAAAAAGTTTGACAGATGAGAGGCTCTTACCACAGTTGGCTTTCAAAGCTGAAAATCTTACTTAATGCCTTTGCACAATTGTATTCATGTTATGATTGTAATTACGATTCAATTTGAATCTCTTGTGTTTTACATTTTGTTTACTTAATTTTTAAATGCATAAACATGAATTTGCTGGTGAGAATGTTTTCGTATTAATGTGCTTTAATATTATAATAGCTGTTTTTGTTTCAATTTGACTTTTTAAATTGTTGTTTATTGTTATGACCATATTTCAGAAGGAAAATACTAAGTATGCTTGATTTAGGTAAAACATATCTTGATTTAAGTTAAACATTTTTTTTCATTTTGCTTGGTTTATTGGCAAATATTATTTTAAGACAGTCAAATGTTCTTTTAATCAAGATAAAAACTAAAGAATTTACTATCTCATATGTTTTTACAGTGAATTGAGATTAAAAAATTATTTTATCCTGGTCAAGTGGAAACACAGATACAATTTCAAAATCTCAAACACATTTTTATTTTGATATACAGTTCCTACACCAAAAGTTATAATGAGCTTAATTGCAGGTAACACAACACAACTAGTCATGTGTTCAGTTAGTTAGTCAACACTGGGTGACTTGTTTAGGTTCATGGAAAAAAAACAATAAACAAATATAGATACAATCTAGATGTATTTGCCAGCTGAACTATTCATTCTCTTTTTCATTCACAGGGACAACTGCAGTCTGCTGCACATGTGCATGTCTTGGCTCGGAGGCTTGGAAGTGACAGGATCTGGAGAGAACCATACCATCGTTTTTTCTTCTGCCGAACTCTACTCTACTCTTAGAGAAAGTAAAGAAGGTAACTCTCAAGGATTGCTACCCATGAAAACTCTGTAAACCAGCCCTGATTTAAGGCCGACAGTGAGTATAATGGGAGCTGATGCCACTTTGCAGTTTTCCTTGCATTAAACTCACGTTAGCATTGTTCTATCACACGGGCAGATGAGCTTGTTGTAATTGCACTGGTTTATGTTTATGAGACAGGGCGTTACTATAGTAAATCCTGTTGCTTTGAACATGCTAGATTTTAGCGCACAGAAGAATCTCACCCAGGTATATATAAGCTCAAGTCTCGAGAGCATCTGTGTCTTTACAACCAGATTGAATTAGCAATTACAGAGAGTAAAAAGCAGAACAAAACATCTGGAGCAGTAAGCAGCAGAGGTTATAAATCTGAGAGCTGGTAGTAGGAAGAGTGGGGGGTATATGAAAATGAGCCAAAGTGAGATTCTCAAGGACAGTGCCTCTGATTGGCCCATTAACATGCCAGGGGTGTCAGAAAGGACCTGAGGCAATGGGAGAAACGGGACAGAGCAGAGGGCTTTGGAGGGCATCAGGACAGCAACGCGGATTTGAGACTGAACAATCAACTCTGGGCTAAAACAGTAGCTTTAGATAGATGCTCAAAATTAATTTAACCTCTATTAGGTCAAGTTTTGTGTGCAGGTTTGTCTAATTATGTGCCAATGCCAAAGATAAATTGTGACTGTAACAAGAAAAAAAATATAGTGGGACATGTTGCATATCATCAAAGCTGGAGCACCTTACCTTTTGGTTTCTTTGGCATTTTGTTTGTCAACATAAATAGTGTTTTATAAGTGAATAAATCAGTCCGCAACATGCCGTCTTGATTTTATGAGGGCTGGTACTCTCTTTTTAACTGAAAAAGCTCATCTAAAAATGTGACTGAGGCCAAAACACATGATTGTGAAAAGTAATGATGTTTTTGAGAACTAGGAGCCTGTGTTGTGGTTTCAAAGTTAGATCCTCCAGTTTTAATATTACACATTTCTTTCAATTGTTCTGCGACAAATTTGAGAACCGCCTGATTTCTCTGCAGACCCATTAAGGTTTTGTGTTTGTCACATCTCTCTTCACACTGTTTACTATTGT